CCCTGGTTCATGTAGAACACCTTCGCCTGCAGGGGCTGCGGGTGGTTCTGATCGGTACCGATGTAGAAAAACCGGACGTGCCACAGCCGGCATCACCCTTGCCGGAGTCGCTTTCTCTGCCGGTCTCAATCCGCGTTGATGAATTTGAACTGACTCAGGCTGTGATATTGCGGAAGGATCTGACGGCGTCTGACCCCAGCGAACGGGCGCAGTTGGATCGCGTGGCTGCGATTGATCTGGTGTGGGACGAGGCAGGGATCGATCTGCCTGAGCTGGAGATAAAAACACCTGAGATTGATCTCCAGGCAAATGGCAACGTTAATCCAAAGGGTAACTGGCCACTGCGCCTTGATGCGGCTTACACAATCAGCATGGCAAGTATGCAGCTGCCGGATGTGGCCGGGCGCACCCGGGTGAGCGGCACGCTTGCGCAGCTGAAAGTGAACCAGCAGATTGACGCGCCTTACGCGGTAGATGCAAGGGCAAACATCACTGATGCACTGGCAACACCTCAGTGGCAAGCCAGCGTCAGCGTCATGGGTGCACAACTCAAGGCGCTACAAGCGGATCTCCCAGATGTATTGCTGGACGCTGAAATTGCTGCCCAAGGCAATGCTGCGCGAGCGGGCCTGACAGTTGACATCAGCGCTGCCCAGACAGCGCTGCGCGTGACGGGAGATTTGACCTTCGCTGGAACCCTCGACAACAATCCAACCGTAGATTTGAGCATCGACTGGCAGGACCTGGTCTGGCCACTGGGTGCCGGGCAGGTGAACATTGTCGCCAGTAAAACCGGTCACGCGGAGATCAGTGGCAAGGTTGATGACTATCAGGTGAGCGTCAAAGCAGACATTCTGCTGCCTGAATATCCACAAGGCAGTCTTGATATCACTGGCGCCGGCTCAACCACGATGTTTGCTGTGCAGAAGTTTGAACTGGCGGTGCTGGGTGGTTTGGTCCGCGGTCTGGCACAGGTTGACTGGCAATCGGGTCTGACATCCAGTTTCGATTTAACCGGCACAACCCTCGATACAGGAGGCATACTGCCGGACTGGCCCGGACAGCTGAATTTCTCGGTGCAGGGAGATGCATTGCTGCCGTCTGATGCGTTGCTTCAGGATGCACGTATCAACGTGACAGATCTGGTGCTTGACGGTGTACTGCGAGACATGCCGGTGAATGCAGAGATGATGGGGTCCTACGCAGATGCCGAGTTGCTACTGCCGTCGCTTGAATTCACAACTCTGGATACCACGCTGCAGGCGAATGGCACTGTCGCGTTAAGCGATACGGGACGCACAGACTTTAACTGGCAGTTTTCTCTGGCTGACCTGTCGCTGTGGCAGCAGGAGGCACAAGGGTCAGTGCAGGCAAGTGGACAGCTGGTGGGCAATCTACGTGAGCCTCGATTGCAAACGAAAGCTGTTATGAACGGTATCCGGCTGCAGGGATTAAGCCTTCAAAATGCTGCGATATCAGCGGATCTTGGCCTTGATCAACTGCCTTTGTCCCTGCAGGTTGTTGTTGACGATATAGACGTTGCGCAGACGTCACTGCAGCAGGTGACGCTTAATCTCGAGGGTAGTCATGCAGACCACTCTCTGAGGCTGTCTATGACAAACGAAGCCGGTCAAGCCGAATTTGCCGCGCTGGGTTCGTTGTCAACGCTGCCGGCGCTGGGTGCTCTGGCGCCGTTAAGCGACTGGCAGGATGTCATCTGGCAACTTGCTGTAACCGCACTGAACATTGGTCAGGGTGAACTTGCTGTTGCGCTCCTGCAGCCAAACGAGGCGCGCGCATCTACAGCTACGGTAAGTGCCAACTCTTTTGGCTTGGAGAATACGTGTTTCAGTTTGTTGAAGGGTGATGTGCAAAGCGCAGATGCTGACAACCTGCAGCAACTGTGTGCCCAAGCCACCGGTTCTTATACAGACAAAGTCAGTGGATTAGTAACGTTGGATAACCTGTCAATCAACGTGCTGGATAGTTTCCTGCCGGAGACGTTGAGTCTGCAGGGGCGTATCAAGGGTGACCTGTCGGCAGACCTGGATCTCAGCACAGGTTCTGCGCAAGCGGATCTGTCTTTAAGCACCAGCGCAGTTGTTTTGCAGAAACTCAACAGTCGCGGTGACCAGCAGACGCTTTTAGCGTTCGCGCCGGGTAAGTTGTCCGGCAATTTGCTGGATGACATTCTGCGGGCGGACATCAACCTGCCGCGCAATGGTGAAGAAGGCCTGCAAGCCAAAGTCAGCATCGCAGCGGATCAAGGCGAAGGCTTTTCTACCCGGGCACTCGAAGCTGATATCGCTGCCAAGCTCAGTGATCTCGACTGGGTGGCGGATTTCATACCTGGTGTCAGTCAGTTAGATGGGGTGTTCACCAGCAATCTGCGTATCAGCGGAACCGTTGCGGCACCGAACCTGACGGGCGACCTGATATTAAGTAACACAAATGCAACCTTACCCGATCCCGGACTGAGGCTGCGCGAGGTTAACCTCATTCTACGCGGCGGTGGCGATAATGATCTGACGCTTGAGGGTAATGCGCTGTCTGGCCGCGGCGAAATGTCTGTGTCAGGAGATCTGCGGGACATCGGCAAGGGTATGAATGGCCGGGTGGATTTAACCGGTAGTCGGTTCCTGCTGCTCAATACGCCAGAAGCAGAAATCATTGCTTCACCAAAGGTGACTGCGCAGCTCACCCAGGGTGCGGTTGAAATATCTGGTGACATCTCAGTTGATAAAGCTGACATAGTATTGAAAAGCCTGCCGCAAACGGCAGCGTCGGTCAGTGACGATCAGATCATCGTCACGCCGGAATCCGAGGCGGCGGACGTGAGCGAAAATTTACAGGTCACCACAAAAATTCGTTTGCTGCTCAATGATGCGGTTACTTTTGAAGGCTTTGGTCTGAAGTCTACGTTTACCGGCGCGTTGAATATCACTGATTTACCCGACGAGCCCACAACGGCTCAGGGTGAAGTCAGTGTCGTAGAGGGGCGGTATCAGGCCTACGGTCAGGATTTAACTATCGAGAGGGGCCGCTTGCTGTTTGTTGGTGGTCCTATTGATCAACCCGGCCTGGATGTGCGCGCCGTACGGCAGGCAACACCAGATGTGAAAGTGGGTGTGATCGCGCGGGGTAGCCTTCGTGCACCTGAATTTTCCATTTTTTCTCAGCCCGCAATGAGCCAGTCAAATCAACTGGCGTACCTGATACTGGGACGCCCCCTCAACGAGGGCACCAGTAGTGAGTCCTCCGCCCTCAGCCGTGCCGCCCTTGCCCTTGGCATCCAGGGCGGGAATTATCTGACGGAACAATATGGTGACAAGCTGGGTGTGGACACCATCGGCATAGAGGCGCCCGCAGGGGAGACAAACGAACAAGCCTCGCTTGTTGTGGGTAAATATCTGTCTCCCAGGCTCTATGTCAGTTATGGGATCGGCATTCTGGACGCCATTAATACACTCAAGATTGAATATATTCTGTCGAGCAAATGGCGCCTGGCCAGCGAATCATCCACTGAGAAAAGTGGCGCTGATCTGACCTATACACTGGAGCGTTAAGGTGCCTCGTTTACTGTCTAAGCTTCTGCAGCGTGGTGATGGTGATCTTCATCATCAACACCTTCTATATGGTGGTGTTGGTGCTCAGTTTTGTGGCCGTCGTCGCCGTGATGATGCTGGTGTTCGTTGACGTGACCGTCTTCACCATGATGATGCTCGTGTTCTGATTTGTGCCCATCTTCGCCATGGTGGTGGTCGTGCTCGTTCGGGTGTCCGTCCTCACCGTGATGGTGAGCGTGATCATTGGCATGTGGTTCATGGCTTGGGTCTGAAGCCCAGCTCATCGGTGTAAAAAGGGTTGCTGCCCCTAAAACGAACACAGCCAGGGTAGCGGAAAATTGACGTTGCATACTTTAACAGCCTCATGATGTATAGCGAAGACATGGGCGTGGGTGCACTTGTTGTTCAAGCAGGGTAAACGCCGTTGTGGTTGTGATTTTCTCCAGGACAGCAGCACAAGAACAAGTAGGTTTTGCTTTCATGGATCTACAAACTTGAAAGAAAGTTACGTTCTTGCGCTTTCGCAGGCAGACCTGTTTCATGCAGAATGTACGCTCGATCTAATTAGCTAGGAGAGAGATATGAGTGAAGAGACAACCGAGCAGGCGGTGCTGATAGAGCGGCGCGGAAGGGTCATGGTGATCACGCTGAATCGACCGGATGCCATGAACGCCATCAACGGCGCTCTGTCACATGGATTGCTGAATGCTGTTCGTGAGCTAGATCAGGATGACACTCTGACAGCCGGTGTTATTACCGGGAACGGGCGCGCTTTCTGCTCGGGTATGGACTTAAAGGCGTTTGCACGGGGCGAGGATATCGGTCCGCTAACTACATTTATTCGTGAGGGATGTAACAAGCCGCTGATTGCTGCTATCGAAGGTTATGCACTTGCAGGCGGCTGCGAAATTGCACTGACCTGTGATCTTCTGGTCGCCGGTAAAGGTGCCAAAATAGGTATTCGAGAAGTAAAGGTGGGTCTGTTCGCTGCAGCTGGTGGTGTGTTCCGCTTGCCGGCGCGAGTGGGTTATACAAAGGCCATGGAAATGGCGGTAACCGGTGAACCCATAACCGCCGAAGTGGCCCTTGAATGTGGCATGTTGAGCGAGCTGGCGGAGCAGGGCGGGGCGTTAGATGCGGCCATCGGCTGGGCGGAACGCATTGCGGAAAATGCCCCGCTTGCAGTAGCTGCCTCAAAGTCCCTGGTCCGCGCCGCAGCGCAAGGATACGACGAAGCAACCCTGTGGGAGATGCAGGTACCGTTGTCTGCAAAAGTCTTCAGTTCCAATGATGCAAAAGAAGGTCCAAAAGCTTTTGCTGAGAAACGTGCGCCTAATTGGACGGGCACCTAGTCTGAAGAACCACGCAGGTCAGGCTAGAGCCATAAAAAAGGGCGACTGATGAGTCGCCCTTTTTTCTTTCTGCAGACCAGGTTCAGCTGGCCAGAATGCCATTTAAGGTTTTACTGGGGCACATGGCCGCTGCAGCTTTGTCTCGATCCGGATGATAGTAGCCACCAATGTCTGCAGGTTCGCCCTGGATTTCTATCAGTTCTTTGATTATCTGCTCTTCATTGTCAGCCAGCTTCTGAGCCAGTGGCGCAAACTGCGCCTTCAGCTCAGCATCCTTGTCCTGGGCCGCTAATGCTTCCGCCCAGTACATACCCAGATAATAGTGGCTTGCTCGATTGTCGGGCTCACCGGTCTTGCGTGAAGGAGACTTGTTGTTTTCCAACAGCTTTCCAGTAGCCGCATCCAGAGCGTCAGCCAGTACTTGAGCCCGCTTGTTATTTGTTTTAACAGCAATGTCTTCCAGCGACACAGTTAATGCCAGGAATTCACCAAGTGAATCCCAGCGCAGATGGTTTTCCGCTTCAAACTGCTGTACGTGTTTAGGTGCTGAACCTCCAGCGCCGGTTTCATACAAACCGCCACCGGCCATTAACGGCACGATAGAGTACATTTTTGCACTGGTACCCAGTTCCATAATCGGGAACAGATCGGTCAGATAATCCCGCAGGACGTTACCGGTGGCAGAGATTGTATCTTCACCATGACGGACACGCTCAAGCGTGTGCCGAATGGCAAGGTCCAATGACATGATCTGAATATCCAGACCATTAGTGTCATGTTCCTGCAGGTATTTTTCTACTTTCTTGATCATCTGCGCATCGTGGCCACGCTGTTCTTTATCGCCACGATGTTTGTTCAACCAGAAAACAGCTGGAATGCCTGAAACCCGGCTTCGATTGACGGTGAGTTTCACCCAGTCCCGAATGGCTGCGTCTTTGGTCTGACACATGCGCCAGATGTCACCTTCAGCTACGCCGGTGTGTTCAATCAGCACGTTGCCCGCATCATCCGTGACGCGCACGGTGCCGGCTGCAGGTAGTTCGAAGGTCTTGTCGTGAGAGCCGTATTCTTCAGCTTTCTGTGCCATCAAGCCGACATTCTGCACGGTACCCATGGTAGTAGGGTCAAATGCGTCGTGATGTTTACAGAAGTTGATGACTTCCAGATAGATGGTGGCGTAACAGGAATCCGGAATGATCGCTTTGGTGTCACGCAGGTTACCGTCAGCGCTCCACATTTTGCCACCCACGCGAATCATTGCCGGCATGGAGGCGTCAACAATGATGTCGCTGGGTACGTGCAGGTTGGTGATGCCTTTATCGGAATCGACCATGGCCAGTCCCGGGCGCTTTTCGTGACAACGGCGCAGATCAGCTTCAATTTCGTTGCGCAAAGAGAAGGTCTGTTCGCGCACTTTGTCGAGCACGCTGGCCAGACCAAGATTCGGGTTTACGCCAAGGTTTTCAAAGGTTTTGCGATGCTTATCGAAAGCTTCCTGGTAGTACACCTCAACCGCGTGGCCAAAAATGATCGGGTCGGAGACTTTCATCATGGTGGCTTTCAGGTGTAGAGAAGCCAGCAGGTCGGCGCGCAGGGCGCCTTCATATTCTTCTTCAAGAAATTCGCGCAAGGCAGCGACGCTCATGAAGCTGCCGTCGACCACTTCGCCGTCTTCTACCGGCACCGCATCACGTAGAACGGTGACGCTACCATCTTCCTTGATCAGCTCGATTTTCAAGTTGCCTGCTTTTTCCACCGTTACAGATTTTTCACTGTGATAAAAATCGCCATGCCGCATGTGCGCAACGTGGGTGCTGGAGGCCTGGCTCCACTTGTCCATTGAATGAGGGTGTTTACGTGCAAACGCTTTCACGGATTCCGGTGCACGCCGGTCAGAGTTGCCTTCTCGCAGTACCGGGTTCACCGAACTGCCCAGAACATGGGCATAGCGCTTGGCGATCGCTGCTTCTTCTTCGTTGGCGGGCTCTTCCGGGTAATCAGGTAAGTCGTAACCCTGCGACTTGAGCTCTGCAATAGCTTCGATCAACTGTGGTATCGAGGCGCTGATGTTGGGCAGTTTGATGATGTTGGCGCCTTCATCTTTGGTCAGCTCACCTAGCTCTGCCAATGCATCCGGGACCCGCTGTTCCTCGGTAAGCTTGTCTGGAAACGCCGCCAGAATGCGGGCTGCCAGGGAGATGTCGCTGAGCTCGACGGCGACATCAGCGGCTTCAGTGTATTTTTTAATGAAAGGCAGCAATGAATAAGTGGCTAATGCCGGGGCTTCATCGGTGAGGGTATAAATAATCTTAAGTTTTCGGTCTGACATGTCGTTCCTGACTTTGTTGTTATCGTGAGCTAATTAGTGAGCTCGGCAAAAATTCGGGCGCCATTATACCTGTTATTTATCCAAGCATGCTAAACGCGACCTAGGCAACCATCCGCGTGAGTTGTTTCAACCCAGTTGCTGTCCGTAATCGCGCAGGGCGCGTAGCAAGGGTTTTATCTTCTGTCCCGCGTCTGTGGGAATGTATTCATAGCGCAGCGGCTTGTCCTGATAGGGTATTTTTTCCAGCAGGCCCAGCTTGACCAGTTTTTTAAGTCGGTCCGCGAGCAGGTTGGTAGGTATATGCTCCGGGCTGCCGGCAAATTCTGCAAAAGTACGGCGTTGAAACAATAGCGCATCGCGCATGATCAACAGTGTCCATCGGTCGCCTATGACATCAAGGCTTTGGGCAATCGGGCAGCTTGAACGAAATTCCATGGCTGAACCTGCTTTGTTAGATGATGGTGCGATCACGTCTCGGTGGCGCTATTGGCGCCAGGCGCCCAGCTTTAATGCAGCAGCTATGATGATGCCATAAACCACCATGCCAGCGCTTGCTGCATAATAGACGCCATTGAGGTCCAGGCTGGTTAAAGAGATCAGTAACAAAGCGCCCCCGACGGCGATGCCGAATCGCACCAACAGCGCCAGCACGGGCCAGAGCATGGCGCCTGCCCCCTGAGAGGCGAAATACAGAGATAAGCCCAGTCCAAAAAAGGCATACGCTGGACCCACAATCTGAATGTAGGCTTTTGCAGCCGCATAGATTTCCGGATCTTCAGTGAACAGCGGTATCCACAAACCAGGTACAAGCGCAAGGCTCAGACCGACAATGCCGGCAAGAACCGCAGCCGCAGCACTACCAACCCAGCCAATGCGCTCTGCACGGGCAAAATTACGTGCACCCACACTCATACCAACAAGTGACGTCATTGCCGCGCCAAGACCAAAGATCAGCGGAATCATCAGAAACTCGAGGCGTGATCCGATGCCGTAGCCGGCGAGGGCATTTTCGCCAAAGCGACCAACAATGGCGGTCAAGCTGATGATGGTCGCCACGGTCAGAATAGGGGATAAAGAAGCCGGCAGGGCGACGCGGAAAATATCCTCGAACAGAGTTCTGCTGAAGCTGCAGGTGCTGATGCGCAGCTTGATCGGTGAGGATCCGCGGGCCAGTGCAACAAGCATAATCAGGCTGACAAGGGTACCTGCAACAACCGCTGAAACAGCTGCTCCCGCAACACCAAGTTGCGGCAGGCCAAATCCACCGAGCACCAGTACGCCGGAAAGCGGCACCTGGATAAATGCACTGATGATCATCATCGCGGCGGGTAGCGTCATATTACCCATACCTCGGAAGACGGCGCTGACAACCCCAAGCAGCCAGATCGACACTCCACCGCTGAACAGGATGATGCTGTAGGTGCCCGCTTGCTTAAGCATGTCGCCTTGACCGCCAAGGAAGCGTAGAAACCAGTCGCCCAATAGAAGAAACAGCAACAACAGCAGCAGGGCGCCCATGACGGCAATTGCCAGGGCATGCCAGATGAGTTTTTCTGCTCTTTCGGTGTCACCTGAGCCCGCTGCTCTGGCAATAGCAGAAGCCACTGCTCCGCCTGTGGCGCCACCAGCCAGCGTTTGGGTCAGCATGAGAAAGGGGAATACAAGGGCAATAGCGGCCAGGGACGTCGTGCCCAGACGCCCGATAAACCAGACCTCTGCCAGGCTCACGCACGCCTGAACAAAGAAGGCAACGCTGCTGGGGGTTGCCATGTTAATTAGAAGTTTTAGTGGCGGTGCAGTTAATAGAAGCTGGGTGCGGTTATCCACTGGTAAGGCTCGAGTCACTTTAAAAATGAAAGCATATACTTTCATTTTTAAAGTAACTATCGCTTTTTGCCCATGCTGTACCCCAGAGACGAAATCAGGCGTTATTCTGCTTATGGCAGGAGATCTGCCGTAGCGACAGGGTAAAGTCTGTTAGCTATGATCTGGCTTTCTCTTCGAAGAGCCTGGCCGGTGGCAGCGTTCAGATACAAAGCCTTCATCAGCTACAGCCACCAGGATGAAACCTGGGCGGATTGGTTGCATGCCCAGCTTGAAGGGTTTGAGCCGCCATCTGGGCTGCCGCGCCTTTTACCAATTTTCCAGGATAAACAAGAGCTTGCGGCGGCAAGTGGGCTAAGTGCAAGCATTGATGCTGCTCTTGCAGATGCAGAATTTCTGGTCGTGGTGTGTTCACCGGCTGCGGTGGCGTCGCGCTGGGTGACCGCAGAGATAGAGCGATTTATTAACCTCGGTCGGCAGGATCAGATCATCTGCCTCATTGTGGATGGCGTTCCTGGTTCGCCGGATGCGGAATGTTTTCCTGCACCGCTGCAAAATCGGGAACCGCTGGCCGCAGATGTGCGTGCCGAAGGACATACCCGGAATCATGCGCTGTTGCGGCTGATTGCGGCTTTGCTGGGTATTCAATTCAACGATCTGAGAAAGCGTGACACCTCTATTGCGGTGCTACCCTTTCGTGATCTTTCTGCGGACGGTGCTCAGCAACATCTGTGTGATGGCCTGGCCGAGGCGCTGTCTGATGAGTTGTCTCAACTCAAAGATCTGCGAGTGATTTCCAGAACGTCAGCCTCTGCTTTCCGACAGAGCACCCTCAGCGCCGCGGAGATTGGCGCGCAATTGGATGCAACCTACGTGGTTGAGGGTTCCATTCAGGTTGCGGGTAGTACTCTGCGCGCAAGGCTGCAGCTGGTTGATGTCAGAACAGACTCGATAAAAGCGTCTAGCACGTTCAACAGCAGCCTCAGTGAGATCTTTGCGCTCCAGGACAAAATTGCGAGCGCGGTTGCCGGCGAGTTGCATGAGACCCTGCAGCATCGGGCGCGCCTGCCTGGTGCGGTAAATAGCGAAGCCTATCAACTGCTGTTGCGCGCGAAGCATCTCGCCAGCCAGTTCAATCAATCCGCACTGCAGCGCTCAAACGAATTATTGCGTCAGGCGCTGGCGCTCGAGCCAGACTATGCAGATGCCTTGAATGCCCTGGCAGGCAACTACTGTACCCAGGTCGGTGAGGGGTTTGTTGAACATGACCTGGTGCCGGATGCCAAGCAGATCAGCCAGCGCATACTTGAAACGGACCCGCACAATACCGATGCGCTTTCTGGGCTGGGCTGGATTGCACTGCGCTTTGAAAACAATCTCCCCGCTGCCGCACAACACCTGCAACATGCGGTAGTGCTTGGTTCGCGAACGAGCCACGTGCTTAATTCGGTGGGTGGGCTGTTGATTCGAATGCGGCGTATGGATGAGGCCATCCGCGTTGCCAGACATGTTGCCAGTCTGGATCCTTTAAATGCACATGCGCACGCCAACCTTGGTGTCTACTCGTTATTTGCCCGGCGCTATACGCAAGCGATAGACGCGTACTCTACTGCTTTAGAAATCAGCCCCGGTTTTGTCGGCGCTCACTTTGCGATTGGATTAGCGCACTTGCTCGATGGTGATATAGAGGCAGCATCGATTTCAATGCAGGCTGAGGCAGATGAAGAATTTCGTGTGAAAGGCACAGCCTTTATCTGTTGGGACAAAGGTGATGTTGCGGGTTTTCGCGATGCGTTAGCCACCCTTATAGAGAAGTGGGGCAGCGTGTGGCCTTCGGAAGTTGCAGAAGTCTACGCTTATGCCGGTATGGCGGATGAGGCTTTTACGTGGATAGAAAAGGATACTGATCAGGATCTTGGTGCTGGATGGGCAGAAAGTGTGGTCAACCCCGTTTTTCATAAACTCGAGCAGGACCCCCGCTGGCTCCAGTTGTTAGAGAAGCTGGGACTTGCGCCTGCTCAGTTGGCAGAGATTGATTTTGTCTTGCCGGATAACAGTTTTAACTAAGGAGAGCATTGTTTTGATAGATCTGTATTACTGCCCGACCCCAAACTGCCAGAAGGTGTCGATTGCCATGGAGGAGTTGGGTATCGACTATCAGGTTCACCCCATCGATATTGTTGCCGGCGATCAGAACGAGCCTGATTTTGTGCAGATCTGTCCGAATCGTAAGGTGCCGGTTATTGTGGATCCCGATGGCCCTGGTGGAGAACCTTTCACGTTGTGGGAGTCGGCAGCGATTCTGTTATATCTGGCAGAGAAAAAGACCGGGCTGTGGCCTGAAGATCCTGCTCAGCGCGCACTTGGTCATCAATGGCTGTTCTGGCAGATGAGTTATGTTGGGCCGATGATGGGCCAGCTGCATCATTTTGTGCGTTACGCACCTGACCAGCTACCTTATCCGATTGAACGTTACACGCTCGAGGTTGAGCGGCTGCGACGTCTGCTCAATACCCATCTCGAAGGTCGGGAATACATTCTTGATGAGTATTCCCTGGCTGATATTGCGTGTATACCCTGGTTCAAAATGTTTGTTGTGGGGTATCCAGATCACGCGCCTTACCCGCATTTACATGCCTGGATGGATCGCGTGTATGAGCGGCCAGCGGTAAAGCGCGGCATGAGTGTGGATCTCGATAAGATCCGTCCGGTGGTGGTCGGCGCTGTGCCGGTGACAGATGATGTCCGCAAACACTTGTTTGCCAGCTTTCAGGACGGTGACGGCCCAACTCGCTAGTATGCGCGGCGGTTACCAGGCGTAAGCTTCCGGAGCGGCGCCGCAGGCAGGAAAAATCTCATCCAGTGCCGCCAGCGTCTGGGTCGATAAAGTGATGTCTGGCACATGCAGAGCAGCGGTCAGCTGGGCAGCACTGCCCGGGCCAATGATGGTAGCGGTGACGCCGGGCTGATGCAGCAACCAGGCGAGCGCGATGTTGCTGGGGGACTCGTCGAGTTCAGTGCACAGATTCTCGAACTTTTTTAGCTGTTCGGATCGTGTCAAGAATGCCGCTTTGGCTTCAGCTGATTGACGCCGGCCTGTCGCTTCACTGCTGCTGCCGGCTAACAAGCCGCCGGACAAAGGGCTCCATGGAATGAGTCCAACTCCGTAGGCCTGGCAGGCGGGTATCACTTCGAGTTCGGCCCCGCGCTCGAGCAGGTTATACAGGCTCTGTTCCGACACCAGCCCGAGCTGGTGACGTGCAATCGCTTTTTCATTGGCGCGTGCAATGGCCCAACCCGGGAAATTGCTGGACCCCACGTAGGTGATTTTGCCTTGGGCAATCAGTCGCTCCATAGCTTGCCATATCTCTTCAATCGGCGCGCTGCGATCAATATGGTGCATCTGATACAGGTCGATGTGTTCAACGCCCAGGCGTTGCAAACTGGCATCACAGGCCATCTGAATATGCCGTGCAGACAAGCCCCGGTCATTGATGTCGTCTGACATGGGTTCATGCACCTTGCTGGCGATGACCAGTTTGTCGCGCCGGCTGCTGTCCTGGGACAGCCACTTGCCGATGATCATTTCCGTGGTGCCCACACCTTTATCACCACCGTATTGATTGGCGGTATCAATGAAATTGATACCTGGATCCATAGCGCGGTTGAGAATGTCGAAAGACTCGGATTCGGATGTGCGGGGACCAAAATTCATGGTGCCCAGACAAAGCTGACTGACATTGACCGCGGAACGACCGAGCTTTCGATATTGCATATTGGGGTGTCCGGTTAGTGTGTTAAGGGGCGCGCAGAGTGGTGCCAGTCACAAGTTCTTCACTAGAGTCTGCAACACAAATCCTGACCAGTTGCTGAGCATGCTCTGACAGTTTCTTAAAGTCAGCGTAGCTGATGCCAGGCACCATGGGTTCACGGAACCAGGGCGCATAAAATTCCAGATTAGGTATCGAACGCACCTCATCTGACAGATTTGGTGTGCCGCCATGCCAGGCGCGTGTATCACGAACCATAATACTGCCTGCAGGGGCCGGGCAAACCGTGTTCAGACGCATCCATTCCGGCTCGTCTTTGAGGCTGGGAATCTTTTCCCTGGAGTTCTGCGTGCCAGGAATCTGCCTTGTTGGCCCATTCAGGCGCGTCACATCCTGAGGCAGAAAATTCACACAGATATAGGGGCAGGGTAAATCTCGAATGCTTGTTAATCCGCGCGGATCATGGAATGCGCTGAACGGGGAAGATGTGTTGTCGACCCAGTCCCGGACATCCGCGTGCAGCCGCTGATATTCAACCGCGCCCGGCAGGCAAAAATCGCCGCTTGCAGCCCTGAGCGTGTAGTTGGGTGACCCAAACAGCGCGGTAAGTAAGGTGGTGACCGCTGGAATGTCCAGCAACATCTGCCAGGCAGGTCGATGCAGCTGGCTGCGGGTGAGACTGGAGCCGCCAAAGGAGTAGCGATGTGAGCCGCGATTGCCGCTGCGGTTTTCATCCAGCGCCAGGATTTCATCAACCACTTCCTGGCAACCTTCGGACAGTTGTTGAATCTGTGCGTTGTTCAGAATATCCGCAATCACCACAAAACCATCCCGATGAAACAACCGAACGGCTCCCTCGATGTCTGTTGGCGTGAGAATTTCCAGCCCTTTGATGCCGTTGTGACTGCTCAGGTGTGCCTTCAGTTCGGCGACTCCGGATGAGGTGTTAACAACAGTTCTCCAATGCCCGGTTAAGAATGTGTTCGGTGGATCGTCAGAAGATGATAACCGAAATTCTTGGCCAGAAAATTCAGTTTGTCGTGTTGTCTGAATTGAGTTGTTGTCTCCCAGCAGGCAAAAACGTCGGCGAACAGAGATGAATGGTATAGCCGTTTACTTCGCCCCGCAGCTGACAATGAGGTCCCACAGTCGCGGAAGATTGGGTGCTTCGCGTAACAAGGTAAACTGGCTGCGAGAGGTTCAGGTCGGCAGGCTTGCGAGAAGAGTAAGCGTAATCACTGCCGTAGAATTCTGCGGCATACAGTCGTTTGCCGAGAAAGACGACGTCCGCATTTTCAGTGCTTCGCAACTTAACCAGAGTGTCTACCAGCCCCTTCTGGTTGCGCGCCCCGTCATACCAGAAATCACTGGTGCTGTTCTGCACCAGCTTGACCGTGGGTATCGCCAGCGCAACAACAAAAAGCACCGGGATAACGTGTTTCTTGCGTTGGCTTAAGAGCTGTGCCAGAAGTAGGCTTAAAATAACTGACCAGGCGGTGAGCGTGGGCATGATATATGGCGGTACAACGTTGGCCGAGAAGGTGAAAAACAGCAGCGGACCTATCGCCCAGCACAGGAGGTAGAGTACCAGAGGATTTGTTTCGGCCAGTCTCAGACGTAAACCCGACTGCCAATACCCGCCGATATACCGGGTAAGAATCAGTAGCGGTACCAGCAGGCTCCAGGGTAACAGGCTTTCCACAGCGTACAGAAGAATGGTGCCGCGGGGTTCCGCGTGGCCAGCCCCGTATAAGTCGCCCACCCAACCCGCGTCAAGAAAGCGATGGAAGTGTTCACCCTGCAGGTAGTATTCGAGATAGCCGGGATAGGCGTTTTCTGCAGCGATGTACCAGGGTGCAACCAGCAGCGTTGCGACGGCTGCCGCACTACCCAGTGCCAGCCAGGTTGTCGGGCGCCAAAGCTGCCTGGTGATCAGCAGCCAGAGCACGACTGGCAACCCCACATAAACGAAGGTGACTGGACCTTTGGCCAGCAAGCCCAGGCTCAGGCCTAAAATGCCGGCGAGGTACCAGGTTAACCGCTGCTTGCTCAGCCACTGGTATAAACCCACCAGGGCCAGAGTGACAGAAAAGGTCAGGGCGGCGTCCGTGTGGACCTTACCTAACGCCACGTAGCCCAGATAACTGCTGCTCAGGACCAGCACGCTAAGGGCGGCCACGCGAAGGCCAAAATGGTCCTTAGCCAGGTGGTGGGTCAATGCGATGGTGGCTACAGAACACAGCCATGCAGGCAGGCGCACGGCAAACTCAGTAACACCGAAGATGTGCATACTCGCGACCTCTAGCCAGATTGAAAGCGGGGGGTTACCCCAGAATGGCTCTGTCTCGGTGAACATCGGCATCAGGTACTGGCCGCTGAAATACATTTTCCTGGCCATTTCGGCATATCTGCCTTCCGTGGTGCCCAGCAGCGGATAGATGCCGAGCCCCAGCAAGTGCAGTGCCAGCACGACGCAGGCGGCACCGAAGATAAGCTTTGTCAGCCTGTCGGATCGCTCTAACGGGCTTTGCCGCGAGTGTGTGTCTAAGTGTTTCAGCAAAGTGGCATCTTTATCTGTGCTTGAAATGACAATGAAGGGGCGCTTCAGGGTTAGAGGTGTCCTGGCGCTAAAATCAATCGTGAGAATAGAAATATTTTTGAAGGTGCTTGCGCCTTTTTGATGAAAACGGATGCCGTCTTCGCATCTGTACCTAACTGACATCCTCTGTCATGGTATCGCCTCCAGCTGCTACCCAACTGTTGTCATGAAAAGCTCAAATTTCTCATCTTTACTTATCGTCTTGTTAACTGGTTTTGGCCTGTCTGGCTGCGAACAGCCTGAGACGGTTGCACCTGTCGATGAATACAGTCTGGCTATCACCAACGTGACGGCCCTCGACGCCGTCAACGGAGTGCAAAGTGGGGTCACGGTGTTGCTCCAGGGTGATGAGATCGTCAGCGTTGCACCATCAGATCAAGCGCCATTGAACGCAGCTCAAGTCATAGATGGCAGCGGCCAGTTTCTGATTCCAGGTTTGTGGGATATGCACGTCCATGTGACCTACGAGCCTCAATTGATTGAGCAGATGCCTTCGCTGTTTCTGGACTATGGCATCACCAGTGTGCGTGATACCGGCGGCATGTTGCCCGCTCTGTTACCTGAAGTTGAGCGTTACCGTGGCGGTGAGATTCAGGCGCCGCGGATCTATTTCAGTGGCCCGCTGCTGGATGGCAGCAAGGTGGTTTACGATGGCGACGACCGGCCTGAGATTGGCATTTCCAACGCAACGCCCGAGGAAGCGCGAGCCAATGTGCAGACTCTTGTGGATGCAGGCGTGGATTTTATAAAGGTCTACGAACTGGTGTCGCCGGAGGTGTTTGCTGCCCTTGTCGATGCGGCCCGGCAAAACAACCTGCCCATTGCCTCTCACGTGCCGCTGGCTCTGCTGGCAGATAATGCTGGCCCCCAGGTGGGCACCATGGAACACCTGCGCAACGTTGAGCTGGCTTGTGCTGAAGATGCCGACATTATGGTGGCGCAGCGGCTGCAGACGTTGACGGAACCCGGCGATGTCAGCGGTTTTGCCTTGCGCAGTGCCATGCATTCGCAATACCGTCCCCAGGCGCTGGCCAGCATAGATATTGACAGTGCCCGTTGCCAGGCGGTGATCAGCTCGCTGCAGAACACCATTCAAGTCCCCACGTTGCGGCTTAATACCATTTTCAAGTATTCACCTCTGGGCCGGGATGATTGGCGCCAGCACCTGGGTAAGCTACCCGCGCCCGTTTCGGCAGAATGGCTGCAGACCGCTGAGCGCTTTTTTGGTCAGGGCTCGGCTGATGCTTTGAAAATGTCTGATTGGAGTCTTGCGCTGGTGGGTGAGATGTTTCGCTCCGGCGTGCCGATAGGTGCGGGTACCGATACACCCATCGGGCAGGCGATACCCGGATATTCTCTGCACACAGAGCTGGAGCGTCTGGTGCAGGCGGGTTTGTCGCCGATGCAGGCGCTTCACTCTGCAACGATCAGGCCGGCGGAGTTCCTGAATCTGCAGGATTCCAACGGGCAGATCCGCGCGGGTATGGTTGGCGACCTGGTGTTGCTCGCTGCAGACCCCAGCCTCGACATTGCCAACACACGCAAGATAAACGCCGTGATATCCCGTGGCGAGGTCGTTCGTTAACCTGTTAACACCCGGTGGTCAGGCTGCCTTGCGATCGAGCAGGGCATCCAGCTCAGCGAAGTCGTCGTCACTCAACGTCCAGCTGATGCTTTCTGCATTAGCAAGCACCTGTTCTGCACGTGTTGCGCCGGCAATTACGCTGCTTACGCAAGGGTTGCTGGAGAGCCAGGCCATAGCCAGTTCCAACAGATTTTTATCGCGGCGTTGCGCAAATCCGGCGAGGCGCTCCACCTGATCAAAATTCCGGTCGGATAGGGCTTTTTTCCCGCGTTCACCAAAGTTGGCCAGGCGACTGTCGGCGGGGGCGTCGACGCCACGCTGATATTTGCCGGTCAGTAGCCCACTGGCCAGGGGGAAGTAGGGCAGCATGCCAACGCCGTACTCTTTACACGCCGGCAATACTTCTTTTTCGATGTCTCGTTGCAGCAGGTTGTAGTGGTTCTGTGCCGTGACAAAGCGATTGTAGCCGCCGTCCACTGCACGCCAATGGGCATCCGCAATCTGCCAGCCACTGTAATTGGAATGGCCGATATAGCGCACCTTGCCAATGGCCACCAGATCGTTTAACGCGCTGAGGGTTTCGTCGATCGGGGTTTTCGGGTCCGGGATATGGTGCTGATACAGATCAATATAGTCTGTGTTGAGGCGTTTCAGGCTGGCATCCACTTCATTGAAAATATGCGCCCGTGATCCACCTTTCTGCAGAATGCCATCACCCATGGCGTGCCCGAATTTGGTGGCTATAACAATCTGCGACCGGTCTCTGCCCGCCAGGGCACGACCGAGAAAAACTTCACTCTGCTGTCCGCCGTAGACGTTGGCGGTATCAAAGAAGTTGATGCCGATGTCCAGGGCTGCGTGAACAACCACCGCACTTTGCTTTTCGTCACAGCGCATACCAAAGTTGTTACAGCCGAGCCCGGCTAAGGAGACGCGCAGTCCACTATGGCCTAAGTTTCGATATTTCATGGTTTCAGTCTCTTTTTGTCAGGCGGTAAAGGTAAACCTCAGCAAGGTTCATGTTGCGGGGCAGGTTGCCATATTTGGATTCCCAGCCCCGGGCAAAAGCGTTGAATTCGGGGTCATCAACCACCCGGGTTGCAGTCAATTCATAGATTTTGTCAGCGTGGCCCAGGCGCACGTTGGGGTTCGCCTCGATATGCTCAACCCACTGAGCGCGGTTATCGCCCGCATAAACATAGAGGTAGCTGTCCATACCTAAGACCCACAGGTTAACGGAGTAAGGGTCTTCCGGTCGGGTTTCAAACTGGATGATTTTGGCCTCGGCGACACTGGACCAGGTTTGTGGGATGGGTGTGACCACACCGTCGAGTGCTGTGCTGCTGAAAGGTATGTATCCGCAGCCAGTCGATAGCGCAACCAGAATGGCAAGACTTAAAAAGTGTCGCATTACCTGCTCCAACAATTGAGGCTGCGCAGTATATCCCGACTCACACATGCCTGGGCAAAAGCCTTAACTGTGCTAGGATTTGCGCGGCACTACTGGCGCACCTCGCCAGCATGGAGTATCGGTATGGAAATGACAGCAGGCATCATGGTGATGCTGGCAAATCTCTGGGCGATTACGCGCACGCTGCGCAGCGATGCCGAGCCGAAAACCAAGGCACTGTGGGTGGCCATCGTGCTGCTGTTGCCGTTTGTCGGCATGGTCTTATGGATTTTGTTCGGGCCAAGCTGAAGTACTCGAACTTCCGACTAGGTTAGTCGGCCACTTTCTTTTTAAACTTACGTTGCTCAGGGGTAAACCATGGCACAGCTCCTTCGTGTGGACGCCAGCATGCGTCACGCAGGTTCTCACAGTCGCACAATTGCGGATAATCTGGTAGATAAAATCAATAAAAAACAATCACTTAGCGTGGTAACGCGAGACCTTGCTGAGGGCGTGCCGATGGTCGATGAAGCCTGGATTGCAGCCAATTTCACGCCTGCGGAAGAGCGCACTGCTGAACATCGGGCTGCCCTGGCCACTTCGGATGCGCTGGTGGAAGAGCTGCGCGCCTCTGATGTGATTGTGATTGCGTTGCCGATTTATAATTTTGGGGTGCCAGCGGCTTTTAAAGCCTGGATAGATATGGTCACTAGAGCCAAAGAAACCTTTGAATATACCGCCACCGGCCCCCAGGGTTTGCTCACAGGAAAGACCGCCTATGTTGTCCTGACCTCTGGCGGCACGGCGCTGGGCTCACCGATAGACTTTGTCTCGCCCTGGCTTAAACATGTGCTGGCATTTGTGGGTATCGATAATCTGCAGGTGATTGATGCCAGCGCTGTGCTGTTTGATGAAGCCGGTGTTCTGGCCAGAGCAAATGCGCAGATTGAGGCGTTGGCCTAGGTTCGAATCATCCGAGGTTAACTGACCGGGTTCATGGCGAGCCGACCCCAAAAAAGCATTATTCTGCTGTTGTTCGTCAGCCTTGGCGTGCTGTTACTGGTGCCGGTGCCCCGGTTTGTTGATGACCACTATCTGATGGGTATATTGCAGAACGCTGGCCATGGGCCGGGGTTTGCGATGCTGACCTTTGGCTTTCTCTATCTTATTGATGCGCGCAGCCGCCCAGCGTATACGCGCGTGATTGGCGTGATCCTTACGTTTGCGGTAGCAAGCGAAATCCTGCAGCACTTCACCCATCGACAATTCTCTGTGGCTGACATCCTCAGTGACCTTATTGGCGTCGGCTTGGGGTTATCTGTTTGGCTGTTACGCGTTGATCGCCGCGTTAAGGAAACGCCATGGTTGCGGCGCCTGACAGCGTTGTCTGGCGTTGCGGCGCTGGTGCTGATGCTTGCTCCACCGCTTATCGGCCTATCAACCTGGCTCGACCGAAATGCAAGGTTCCCCGTTTTACTTGAACCTGAGATGGCTGATGTCCTGTCGATGACCGAATCTCTTGGTAAGCCCGAGGAAGTAGCCATCACCCTGCACCGGGATCGTATTTCCATAGACCTGCTCGCCGGTCCCCGCCCGGGGCTTGTCATCAAAGATTTTGTCTCCGACTGGCAGGGGTTTGAAGCGCTGGTCATGGAGGTGAGTAAATCCGGTGATGGCGATCTTTTTCTGGAGTTGTACGTGCGGGATAAAGCAAGCGCATCAGAGGGTTCAGATTGGTTCTTTGCCCACGCCATGATTGAAAGTGAGGGCTGGCATCAGTTACGGTTTACGCTGGACGACATTAAAAATGGACCGCGCAGTCGCACGGCAGATCTGGGTCAGGTCACCGCTATCGCTGTGCACCGACGTGGGGGCACCGCTTCGCGGCTTTCTATTCGAAAAATCTATCTGCACTAGTTTTTGGCGTGCATACTACCAAGTGACTTTGCATCGGGGGAGAAAATTGAGCTACAACAAACCAATTCCTAACAAAGGAACACATACAAAGCCATTCTGGGAAGGCGCCCAGGCAGGTAAATTAATGCTGCCGCGCTGCCAGGACTGCAATCGCGTGCACTGGTACCCGAGGCATATCTGCCCCAACTGCCATTCCATGAACCTGGAATGGATAGAGGGTAGCGGAGAGGGCACCGTACATACCTTTGCCGTTCAACACCTTGTGTTTGGCAAGTGGGCTGAAGAAGCCCCTTTTGTTACCGCTTATATTGACCTGAAAGAAGGTGATCGAATGCTGACGGTGCTGCGCGGGGTTGACCCGAATAAACCTGAAGAGATCAAAGTGGGTGCAAAAGTAAAAGTTGAATTTGAGCAGGCCGATGACGATACGTTTATACCGTATTGGCGTGTTGTGGAGGGTCAGTAATGCCTGGACAATTATATAAAGCCGCAGCCATTGTTGGTGCTGCGGAAGCCAACGAAATTGGTTTCCTGGAAGAGCCGATCACTGCGCTGCAGCTGCACATTGAAGCCATTAAAAATCTCAGTGATCAGACCGGCATTCCTATCAGCAAAATTGATGGTGTGTTTTCTACCGGTTGGTCAACTGAGTTGTGTGAGCACCTTGGTATTACCCCTAAATACATAGATACAACGGCGGTTGGTGGATGCTCGTTTGAGATGCACGTTCACCATGCCATGGCAGCTATTCACGCAGGCATAATTGATATTGCCCTGGTCAGCCATGGTGAAAATGGCCATTCGCGGCGTAAGATCGGTGGGGGTGGTTCCGGCAATTATGGCGCCGGTGCAGGTGCCTTATCTCCGGCTGCTGAGATGACCATGGCCTACGGCCTGACCGGCGCGCCGTCGAACTATGCACATGCCATGGTGCGGCATATGCATCGTTACGGTACTTCCCGGGAAGACTATGCACACATCGCCAAAGTGACGCGGGACTGGGCAACCCTGAATCCTCGTGCAGCGATGTATTCCAAAGAAAAACATCCCTTTGGTGGTCCTATTACCGTTGAGCAGGTTGAAGAGTCCCGGGTGATTGCCTGGCCGCTAACTATTCTGCACTGCTGCATGGTGGCTGATCATGGGGGTGCGGTATTTGTCTGCAGTCCTAAGGTGGCAGCGGGTTTGAATACCAAGCCGGTCTGGATCGCGGGAGCCGGTGAAAGCATGGGTCACGGCAACATGCTGGAGATGCAGGACTTCACAGCGACGTCAGCGTCAAAGTCTGCGCAGACGGCGTATACCATGGCAGGTATGGGGCCATCTGATATGGAAATGGCATTAATCTATGATTCTTTCACCATTACAGCGGCCATTACGGCAGAAATGCTGGGGCTGGCGAAGCCCGGAGAAGGGCATCTGTTGTGGAAAGAGGGCCATGCCGCACCTGGCGGCAGACTGCCTATCAACACCAATGGTGGTGGGCTGTCGTTTAACCACAGTGGCATGTACGGCATGCCGCTCCTGATTGAAGCCTATCGCCAGTTATCAGGCACGGCGGAAGATGGCATTCACGGTGATAAAGGTAAACAAACCAGTGCACGCACATGTGTGGTGAATGGCACCGGTGGCAGTTTATCCACCACGGGTACCCTGGTTTTAATAGCGGACGACTAACCGAACCCCCTGAGGTTCATTGGAGAGCAAGATGGCTGAAGCGCATGATTACATCTATGTAGGGACGCGACCGATACGGCCCGATGGCATAGAAAAGGTCACCGGAAAAGCGAACTATGGTGCGGATGAATCGCGACCCGGGTTGATCCATGGCGTGGTTGTGCGCAGCACCCATGCCCATGCGCTGATTGAGGACATTGATGTGTCCGCTGCCCTAGCGCTGGATGGGGTCTATGCAGTGGTCACCGCAGCTGACTTTCCGGCGCGGGACAAAATATCTCCCGCACGCCGGCGGATGTTTGAAAACATTATTGCCGGGCACAAAGTTGTTTATCACGGTCAGCCGGTGGCTGCGGTAGCTGCAGCCAGCTTGGCCCTGGCTCAACAGGCAGCCGGGTTGGTCAAGGTCACTTATTCAGTGTTGCCAACCGTGTTGGATATGCGTGCAGCGATGGCACCTGATGCCAGCGTTCTGCACGATGACATGTTTACTCAGGGTCTGCCGGAGACACCTGACAAACCTTCTAATCTGGTGCAGAAAACCGCTATCCGCAAAGGCGATATTGAAGCCGGTTTTGCCGATGCAGAGATCATCATCGAGCGGGAATTTGTCACCCCGATGGTGCATCAGGGTTACATCGAACCTCATGCGTGTACTGCGGATGTGAATACAGACGGGCATACAACGTTGTGGTGTTCATCTCAGGGGCACTTTGGTATTCGAGACATGGCCGCTCTGGCTCTGGGTATGGACGCAGGTGATATCCGTGTAGTGCCCCAGGAAATCGGCGGCGGATTTGGTGGCAAAACTGTTGTCTATTTGGAACCTCTGGCGATCAAACTGTCTGCCAAAGCGGGTCGCCCGGTTAAAATGGTTATGCAGCGTGATGAGGTGTTCAGAGCCACAGGGCCAGCGTCAGGCACCATTAACACCGTCAGGATCGGCGCGAAAAAGGACGGCACCATCGTTGCCGCCTACGCCAATCTGTTATACGAAGCCGGCGCTTTTCCAGGTAGCCCCCTGGGTGCAGGTGCCATGTGTATTTTTGCACCTTACGATATTCCAAACATATTGATTGAGGGTGCGGAAGTGGTTGTTAACAAGCCACGTGTTGCAGCCTATCGGGCGCCGGGTGCGCCACAGTCCATGTTTGCCGGTGAGTCTGTGCTGGATGAGTTAGCTCAGACGTTAGACATGGACCCCATTGATCTGCGCCTGAAAAATGCAGCGACCAAAGGCACCCATGCGGCTTACGGCCCAAAATTTAAAGATATCGGTCTGGTGGAATGTCTGCAGGCCGCCAAGGTGCATCCTAATTACCAGCGCGCGCTGGAGAAAAATCAGGGGCGCGGTGTCGCGGTAGGGTTCTGGTTCAATGCCGGCAATAATTCCAGTGCCGAGGTCCATGTGGCTGAATCCGGCATGATCCAGATTGTTGAAGGCAGCCCGGATATTGGCGGCAGTCGTGCGGCTATGGCGTTAATGGCTGCAGAAACCCTGCAGGTGCCTTATGAGCGTATCCGTGTACGTATTGGTGATACCGACAGTACCGGTTTCTGTAATACCACCGGCGGCAGCCGGACCACATTTGCCACGGGTATGGCGGTCATCAATGCCTGTGAAGATATCATCGTGCAGCTGAAAGAACGTGCCGCCATTACCTGGGGCATAGATGCTGACCAGGTGGATTGGCGGGACGGGCAGGCTTTTCCAAAACCTGGAGTCAACACCGAAGCTGAGCCTCTAACCCTTGCCAAGCTTGCGCGGAGCTTCCCGAAAACCGGTGGGCCGATATCCGCGCGCGCATCGCTTAACGCTCAGGGCCCTGGCCCCTCATTTGCCGTCAACTTCTGTGATGTGGAAGTGGATCGCGAAACGGGTAGTACTGCGGTGCTGAGCTTTACGGCGATTCAGGATGCCGGCCGTGCTATACATCCAGACTATGTAGAAGGTCAAATGCAGGGTGGTGCCGCTCAAGGTATTGGTTGGGCGCTAAACGAAGAATATCTGTTTGATGAAAACGGTATTCTGGAAAATGCAGGGTTTCTGGACTACCGCATTCCGGTAGCGTCTGACTTGCCGATGATCGACACACAGATTATTGAAGTGCACAACGATACCCATCCCTATGGCGTGCGTGGTGTCGGTGAAACACCGATCATTGCGCCGCTTGCAGCAGTGGGGAACGCGGTCAGTCGCGCGCTGGGTATCCGCATGACGGATCTGCCTTTGTCGCCGCCGAAGGTGCTGGCGATCATAGACAGTCAGTAAGGCCCGGTTTCAGCAAGACAGGTTGCGCCGCACGGAATTGGATCCTGCGCGCGCATTTCCAGGCGAATGAGATTAAACTGCCCGGTTTTTACGGAGACCAGGCAGTTTATGAGCGCAAATAGAAGTACCGGTGATGCTCTTGAGTTTCAGGTTTTTAATCGTCGTGTAACGGCGAAACGCTGGGGCCACAAACAGGGCATGCCAACCTTTGCTCTGCATGGATGGTTGGACAATGCCAACACCTTTGATCGACTGGCGCCGATGCTGCCGGAACTTGATCTGGTGGCGTTGGATTTTGCCGGTCATGGTCTGTCAGATCATCGACCCGCCGGGCAGCACTATCACCCCCTCACAGATATGCAGGATATTCTGGCTGTGGCTGAACAGCTGGGCTGGCGTGAATTCTCTCTACTGGGTCATTCCATGGGTGCAGCCATTGCCAGCGAGTTGGCGGCGACATTTCCAGAAAAGGTTGTGCGAGCGGTTTTCATCGATGGGTTCATGGCCACCGGTGGTGCAACCGCGCAGGAGCGTTTAGAGCAGAATCGCAACGCGATAGAGAGCATGTTGAACGCCCATAAGAAGACGCCAAAAATTTATCCGGATCTTGAAACCATGGCGCTGCGAGTGACTCAGGCAACGGATCAGTCCATGGCTGCGGCGCTGACCCTGGTCCAGCGCGGACATAAAATTGTTGAAGGTGGGGTGACCTGGCGGACTGACCCGCGCATTCGATTTGCAACCCCTCTGCGACCGACACGGGAGCAGATCGATCTGTTGCTGAAAAACAGCACCGCCCCGGGTTTATTGCTGGTCGCCGAGCAGGGTGATACCTGGTATCAGGGTGAAATTGATGACGCCAGCGCGGCTCATCCGCACCTCACTGTTGAGCGTATGCAGGGACCACACCATATCCATCTGGAGCCGGAGCACGTGGATGCGGTTGCCCGTTACGTGCGTGATTTCCTCGACCTTGATGCCCTGTCTCGCGAGCGCGCTTAGGCGCTGAGTCTCAGTAGTTCTTCGATCCAGGGCAGGTGTTCACGACCAATGAACACCTGGCCTGCAACCACATAAGCCGGGGTCTCAATCACGCCGTGGTTTTGTGCGGTGACTGAGGCCTCATCCATGATCCGTGTGACGGTTTGGATGTCAGGCACAGGCATGTCGAGTTGCAGGTCCTGCAACAAAGCCGTCACCACATCCGGGTCATTCAGGTCCTGCTGGTCCTGCCAGTAGGACTTAAAAGCTGCATCTATAAATGTGTCGACACCCTTGTTGTGGTGCTTGTTCAGGTCTTGAAGCACAGCCAGCGCAAGTTGTGCTTCAAAAGGCTGATCTTGAAAAACCATTGGTAGATTCTGTACCCCGGCGTAAAGCAGGTGTACATCTCGACGTGCAAGGGCGCGCACGCGCCGATGTTTTTCGCCTTTATTCTCGTTGACCTTTTTCTCAGGAATAGTGCTCAAACGTGTATTGAACGGGTGCCAGGTAGCGTGGGCACCGGTTCTTTTCAGCAGCTCACGGGTGGGGGCAAGCGCCAGGTAGGCAGCCGGTGACTTGAAATCGATGTAGATGTCGATTGCGTTCATAGCGCATAGGCCATATCTGGTGCAGGCCCGCTTTTGCCGGATAGCCACCAGCGCACATAAGGCAGGTGTTCGCGTCCAAACAGTATATTGCCGTCGAAGACATAAGTGGGTACACCGTAAATACCTGCATCGTGCAGCTTAGCTTGCAGCGTATCGTGCTGTTGCCGGCCCGGGCCATTGACGTAAGCGGCAAAACCCTGCGCATCGACACCGGCTGTCCGCAGGCAGTCAGCAACCACATCAACGTCTTCGATATCCAGTTCGCGTCGCCAGAAAGGTGGATAAACGGCCTCAAAATAGGTTTTCAGTTTTTCCGGCGCATGCTCTGTTACCCAGGTAATGCCCATGTTCGCCAGGCTTGAATCCCAGATTTTTTCGGTGCCTTTGAGCATATAGCCCTGACGCTCGGCATAACGGCGTGCATCTTTGTAGGCGTATTTCACGTTTAACCACTGCGCCGGGCTGCGGTTGGACGCAACCACTTTCCCCGCAGATTTCTTTGCGGAGCCGAGGTAGCTCGGTATGTCCAGAGTCAACCCCCGCCAGTCGAACTGCACACCAAGTTCTGCTTCCAGGTCCTGGGTGGGTTTTACAGCGATAAACGCATAGGGGCTCTTGATATCAAGATAAACGATGAGGGGCGCTTGGCTTTCTAGTGGTTCCATAGATCAGTACCCTAGTGCTGACGACGCGCCAGGTAAAGCTTGCTTTGCGTGACTGCGTTTAAGATTATCTGTTGTGATCAGAGATAAACACCAGGCCTTTGGAGGGAATGAGAGATGAAAGTCATTACACTGTTACTCGCGTTATTCGCAACGGTTGCGGCCCAGGCGGACATCAAACGCACCGCCAGTGGCAAACCGGATCTTTCCGGGGTCTACGATACCGGCACCCTGACGCCGCTGAACAGGCCCGAAGAGTTTGGTGACAACCAGTACATGACCCGGGAAGAAGCGGACACCATCACCGCCCGTACCAAGGCTGTTTTTGATTTTGCCAATCGCGAAAGTGACCCTGACCGGGGCGCGCCGCAAAAAGGTGGCGACGGTAACAATACCGCGGGCGCCGGTGGTGTGGGTGGCTACAATGCTTTCTGGATAGACCCGGGCACCGACACATTTGAGATCAATGGTAAGTTTCGAACCTCGATCATTTATGACCCCAAAAACGGCCGTCAGCCTGCGCGAACACCACAGAGCCTGGCGCGGATGGCATCAGCTTACAAATCTTTTGGCCATGACAACGACGGCACCGCTTCGTGGCTTGCCTACAATGGTCCGGGTCCCTTTGATGGTCCGGAAAGTCTTGCGCCTTCGGAACGTTGTCTGATCAGTTTCGGTTCAACCGTGCCGGTGATTCCCAGCCTGTATAACAATTACAAACGCATCCTGCAGACTGAAAATCATGTTCTGATCTATCACGAAATGGTCCATGACGCCCGCGTTGTGCGCATGAATAAAGAGCACGGACCCAGCGATCACCGCACCTGGATGGGCGATTCCATAGGCTACTGGGAAGGGGACACGCTGATTGTGAAGACTAAAAACTTCAAGAAAATCAGTGGATTGGCCGGTGCAAGTGATCAGCTGGAAGTCACCGAGCGATTCAGCCGCCATGCAGATGGCTACCTGGTTTATAACTTCACTGTCAATGACCCTGGTGCGTGGACCGCACCCTGGAGCGGTGAATACACCTGGGCGCCCAGTGAAGACAAGGTTTATGAGTACGCGTGCCACGAAGGTAATTACGCCATGGGCAACATTCTGCGCGGTGCGCGCCTGCTTGAAAGTGAATGGGATGGACCTGTCGCAGGCGGGCAGTAGCAGATCAGCAGGTGAGGGCATGTACCCAGTGTGGTAAATGCTGCGAAATCTACGGTGCCGGTCTGACAGCAACCGCTGGCGAGGTGGCGTGGTGGGAGACTTTTCGACCTCATATTGCTCGCTACGTAGCAGACGGTGTGCTCTGGGTCGACCCTGATTCCCAGCAGCGTCTGCCCCGCTGTCCCTGGCTTGCAGAAGATGAAAGCAGCGGTACGTTTGGTTGTTCCATTTATTTCGATCGTCCGGAGGACTGCCGGCATTATCCAGTCACGGTGTCTGAAATGGCGCGGGATGGCTGCGAGATGTTAGAGCTGCGAGACCTGCAGCATCCGCAAAAAAGCCAGCAGGCTCTGGATGAGCTGATGAGTGATTCGCGACCGCCGTTGGCATGATGAAGGTTCTAGAACAGAGGTAAGTCATGACTCAGGTTAGATCAAGGTCAGTAGAGAATATTACACCCTCGCTGGGTGGGGTGGTCAGCGGTATAGACCTGGCGAATCTGAGCGCTGAGGATGAAGCATTCATCAGGCAGGCGTTTAAAGATCGACTGGTGCTGGTGTTTCGCGATCAGCAGCTCACTCGAGAACAGCATAAGACATTTGGCCGGTTGTTTGGTGAGTTACACCTGCACCCGGCGAAAACTCATCTGGGTATGCCGGGTGATCCGGAAATTTTCGACATCAGAATTACCGCTAAAACCAAGGTCGCAAACGGTGAGGCCTGGCATACGGATCTGTCCTGCGAAGTTATCCCGCCGATGGCGTCGGCGCTCTATATTACCGAGGTGCCGCCGAGCGGCGGTGGCGATACCCTGTTTGCAAATATGCAGGATGCGTTTGCAACTTTGTCAGAGCCCATGCAAAAGTTACTCTCAGGGCTAACAGCTTTTCACAGCGGCTATAAAGATCTGAAGGCTTATGGCGTCATACCCAAACCCGGGCAGCATTACCCCACTGCGTCACATCCTGTGGTGCCCATACATCCGGATACCGGTAAACCGGTGCTGTTTGTCAACGAACCGTTCACCGAATCGATTAATGAGCTGCAGCCGGCTGAAAGTGCTGCGCTGCTGGACATGCTGTATCGACACATCGAGACAAATACGCGCTTTCATTGCCGGATCAAGTGGCAGCCGAACACGCTGGTGTTATGGGATAACCGTGCGGTTCACCACCACGCGGTGTGGGATTATTATCCTGAATCCCGCACCGGTGAGCGGGTCACCATCAAAGCGGTGCAGGCGCCCAGCCGTTAATAGCTGCCACATCAATAATGTGCCGGTAATAAGGTTTATGCTGGCAGTTGCTGGCGCAGTAAGCGTCTTTCAACCAATCAGAACTGGTGCTTCGCCGATATATTTCTCTTCCGCAATGGCGTTAACAATAAAATCAGCAACGTTTGCCCTGGAAATGATGCCATTGCGCCAGGTGTCTGCGGCAACAAGGGTCTTGTATGGCTTCTGCCTGCCGTTGGTTAAAACGCCAGGGCGGGCAATTGTCCAATCTAAAGAGCTGGATTTAATGGCAGCCTCCTGTACAGATTTGTCCGCATAGGCGCGGCCAAAAACCAGATTAAAACCCAGACGCTGTAACGGGTGGATGGCATCGATACTGTCGCCGGCGCCGAAGCCGGTGATGCAGACCAGGCGCTTCACGTTCTGTTGCTGCATCTGTTCAAGCACAACGCTGGTGGCGCTGGAAAACAGGGTAATTGGTCCGGTAAATAATTTAAGATTGAACGGTACACCAAGACTGAGCACCACGGCGTCCACGTCGCGTAGGGCGGTTTCCAGATCAGTGGCAAGCAGGGCGTCGCCGTCAATTTTTGTCAGGTTGTCGTGGTTGTAGGTCAGGTTTGAAGCGTGACGCGAGAATGCCTTGACAGCCCATCCTCTGTCACAAGCAGCTTTCACGGTATCCAGGCCTATACCCCGGCTTGCGCCGATGACTAAAATTTTTGTTTCCGGCATACAGGCTGCCCTCTTTACGGGGAATCAATAACACCAGATTGGATAGTTATATCTGGAATGCCGCTATAGTGTCTGATGGATGTGGTGAAATGCCTGTGAAGTGCACTAGTCTGGTCAAGCTCAGGTTTTTTCGAAGCCACGACGCATGCCAAGCGAATAGAACCGATCAGTGTGGACGTTATAGTGATCGGTTTTCCGGTCTGTCGAATGATCCCGGGTAACCATTACCCGGATTAGAGAGGTATGTTTGTGAACGCAATACGTTTAAGCCGCTGGGTCTTATGTTTTTCTGCTTTTGTGGGTGTGGTGACGATGTCCCAGGTCGCCTGGGCAAATACATCCAGTGTGTTCAGTCCTGACGTCAAAGAGGGAGACCGCATGTGGGAATACCGCACCAGCTTTGAACCCAATGATGGTGGCCAGGAAGATGTGTTTGCACATCGATTGCACTACCAGCACGCGATCAACGGCCAGTCGCGCTTACGCCTGATTGGCCTGCAAAGTGATAACGGTGGTGGTCTCGAATTCCGCTATGCACGCCTGGAGTACCAGTACCAGTATCTGGAAGATGAAGACGCCGGTTGGGATAGCGCTTTGCGTTTCGAATTGCAGCTTGCCGAGGGTGATGATTTACCGCATCGCTTCCGTGTAGCCTGGACGGGAAAGGTAGACGTCACCGACCGCTGGCAGTTGCGGGCAAACCTGATCACTGGCCGTGAATTCCACAGTGGCGCGGACAGCGGTATTTCAGTTGAGACGCGCTGGCAGGCGACCTATGCGTTTGGTGGTGGCACCCGGATCGGCATAGAGTCGTTTAATGACTTCAATTCAACAGACGCCTTCGGAAGTTTCAACGAACAGGAACACCAGGTGGGTCCGGTTGCAAAGTTAAAACTGGGCCGGGGCTGGAGTGTCGACTTCAGCTATCTGTTTGGTCTGTCTGATGAGGCCCCGGATGAAAATCTGCGCATGCAGCTGAAATACAACTTATAGCGATTTCAGTCTGGCCCTTAACGCAGCACCGTGATCGAAACCAAGCAAGGTGCGTAACGCTGGCGATGCTTTAGCCTTAAACGCGTCGTCAAACGGCCCCATCGTCACCATGGGTTTCACGGTGAGCGCAGTGTAGTTGATCAAGACGGCAACACGTGGCTCGCTGGCATGGTTCTGTGCTGTCTGATGCCACAGGAGGCCATGGCTGACCAGGGCGTCCCCGGCGTTACCAGTGATCTGCACCGCATTTTCCTGAAACCGGTCTGGCTCAGGGCGCTGGGGCCACTGCTGACTGCCCGGTGCTACCCAGGTGCCACCGTTGGTGCTGCTGAACGGTTCCATCATCCAGATCACCTGCATCATGAGCGGTGGATCAACGGGCATGCCCGCTGGCATGGCCCAGTAGGGATAATCAACGTGTAAACCACCGGTGTTGCAACCGGGCATCAGGATCCGCCCTGAAAATGCACCCAGCGCGGCATCCTCACCGAGCAGTGCGTGGGCAACCGCCAGCAGTCCTGGATGGGTGGCCAGTGCCTCAAAGGCGCTGCCACGTGAGATCAGATTTGCCAGGTGCATCACACCGGGTTCGTTCTCGCGCGCATTGTCCAGCTCGTCCAACAGCATGTTGCGAATATCTGTGGCTGCGGCGGGTGTCAGCAGACCTGGTAAATTGGCAAAGCCAGGGCCTTCAGTGAGCGCGTGGCGAATGTCATCAGGTTTATCTATTGGTGACGCCGGGCTGGTGACAGAGTTGTGCATGGGTCTGTATCGATGATGTTGAGGCATTAGCATGCCGCGCTCGAACCTGCCTGTCTATTCCCTGCTTTACGGGACAAGCACGCCGGCTGGTGGTCCCCGCATTTCGATGATAGGGTCTGCTCAGGTTGCACGTAGAAGGCAACCCCCTCCGTGTTTGAGAGACCCTGCACATGTTTACAGCTTTAATCTGTCTGGTTGGCGCCGCCGTATTGGTGGGCCTGGCATTTCTGTTTTCCCTTGATCGCAAGCGTATTAACTGGCGTACCGTGTTGCTGGCTTTGGCAATGCAGGCAGGCGTTGGCGCTCTGGTGCTTTATGTACCGATGGGTCAGGCAGTGCTTGCTGCCATGACAACCGGGGTCAGTGCGATCCTGGATTATGCTAAAGATGGCATTGTTTTTGTTTTTGGTGAAGTGGGCTCCGGCAAGCTCGGCTTTGTTTTTGCGTTTCAGGTATTACCCGCAATTATTTTCTTCTCGTCGCTGATTTCAGTGCTGTACTACACCGGCGTGATGCGCTGGGTGGTGATGGTGATCGGCGGACTTTTCCGCAGCGTGTTGCGCATCAGCGCGCCAGAGTCATTATCGGCGGCGGCAAATATTTTCATGGGTCAAACCGAAGCGCCCATTGCGGTGCGTCCGTTTCTGGTACAGATGAGTCGGTCAGAATTGTTTGCCGTCATGGTAGGGGGGCTGGCAACAGTCGCCGGCGCGACCATGGCAGGCTATGCCGCGTTAGGCGTCGAGCTTAAATATCTGATTGCCGCGAGCTTTATGGCCGCCCCCGGGGGGATTGCTATGGCCAAGATTTTTGTGCCTGAGCAGCCGGACGCCAAGTTGATTAATGATGTTGGCGAACTGGGCAGCAGTGAAGAAGATCCGGCGAATATCTTTGATGCGGCTGCCAAAGGTGCAACCAGCGGTTTAATGCTGGCGGCCAATGTAGGCGCCATGTTGATTGCATTTATTGCACTAATTGCGCTGGCCAACGGGTTGTTTGGCTGGGTCGGCGGGCTGGCTGGATTCCCTCAACTCAGCCTGGAACTGGTGTTGGGTTATCTGTTTGCGCCGATCGCTTTTCTGATTGGTGTGCCCTGGGCGGAAGCGGTTCAGGCAGGCAGTTTCATTGGCCAGAAACTGGTGCTCAATGAGTTTGTGGCCTATGTGAATCTGGTGTCCGATGGGGCAAACCTGTCGGCACACACAACCGCAGTGGTTACCTTTGCTCTGTGTGGCTTTGCAAACTTTTCTTCCATCGCTATCCTGTTGGGCGGTATTGGCTCCATGGCGCCTGAACGGCGACCTGAAATCGCTCAGTTAGGTGTGCGCGCGTTGTTAGCAGCGTCGCTGGCAAATCTCATGAGCGCGGCCATTGCCAGCTTTTTCCTGTTACTCGGTAGCTAAAATATGCAAGTGCCAACCATCAGCATTAATCATTTCCCAAATGATCCGGCGTTTGTAGACGCGCTGGGTAGCGCTTATGAGTCCTGCGGGTTCTGTGGCATATCCGAACATGGCATCAGTGATGTTGTCATTGATGATGCCTACGCGGTTCTGCGCGAATTTTTTGCACTGCCTGCGGAAGTGAAACGCCAGTACCAGACCCAGACTGCGGGTGCGCGGGGTTACACCAGCTTTGGCATTGAAACCGCAAAAGACAGCAGTCACCCAGATCTGAAAGAATTCTGGCAGGTCGGGCGTGAGGTGGGGTCTGATGCAGGTGATCACGAAGCTTTGCTGCCCAATGTTTGGCCAGCTGAGGTGCCCGAATTTCAGCCGAAGCTGTATCGTCTGTATGAGGCGCTGGAAGGTCTCGGCAATCGTGTGTTGGATGCTCTTGCACTCTATCTGAACCTGTCGCCAGGCTACTTTCGTGACAAGGTGGCTCACGGAAATTCTATTCTGCGACCGTTGCACTACCCGCCAATTGCCCAGCAGGACACCTTGTCACTGCGTTCTGCCGCACATGAAGACATCAATCTGATCACGCTGCTTGTGGGTTCTGAGGAACCCGGACTGGAAGTGCTGTCCAGAGATGGCCAGTGGGTGCCGATTAACATGCAGCCAGGCACTATTGTGGTGAATATCGGCGATATGATGCAGCGATTGACGAATCATGTTCTGCCATCAACAACCCATCGAGTGGTGAACTCGCCAGAGGCTTACACGGGTGGCAGTCGTTATTCGATCCCGTTTTTTCTGCATCCTAATCCGGAATTTGAAATTGCCACACTGCCGGGGTGTATCACTGATGAAAATCCCAATCGTTATCCTGAGCCGATTCTGGCAGACGAATACCTGAAACAACGCCTGGTTGAAATTGGTCTGATGTAAAAAGAACCCCGCCAGCGGTGGCGGGGCTTAAAGGTAGGGCAAATGCCCGGGGCTGTCGATCGGGCATGGTTGGTCTAAGAGCCGACCACTCCATTGTCTTTTTTCGTTATCACCAACGTTGCATCTCTGGGGATCGTGTTGCTGCCAAAAGCATCCGGAAAGCTTGTTGCTGCTGGAGAGCCGTTGCCCGGGTGTTGGACGTTCACAAATGCCGTGCGATAGTTTGGCGTAGTTGTCCAGCCAGTCAGTTCATCACTGGGTACACCAACTAACAAACGCTTGGGTACAGGCTCACCAGATCGGGTGTCAAACACCACAACCTGATCCTGTAACCCCAGGGGCTGACCGCCATCAGTACCGATAAACAACCTGCCAAACGGATCTGCATGGGCGGCGTCGGGCGCTGAGAAAGCGGTATCCGGATCTTCGATGGTGGAAGAAGCAAGCAGGTAGATGTCCCATTTGAAGCGCGTGCCGAGGCCACGTCTGCCATCTTTGGTGCGGATGATGTGGCCATTGTTGTTAGGGTTTTCCGGATTGGCTGCATTGACTTCACCCTGGCCATCGTCCTTGCGATTGTTGTTAGTCAAGGTCCAGAACACGCTGTTGTTCCGGCCAATGGTGGTCCATTCCGGTCGGTCCATTTTTGTTGCACCGACAATGTCCGCGGCAATACGGGTGTTGATCAGCAGTTCTCCCTGATCGCCGTTAAATCGCTGCCATAATGCATCATCTGTGTTGACGTCCAGTGCCAGCCAACGACCTGTACCATCATCGTCAAATCGTGCGGTATATAATGTGCCTTCGTCCAATGGGCTTTTACCTGCAGCGATGGCATCACGCCAGGGTAGATCGGAGACAAACTTGTAGCAGTAGTCACCACGTTGATCGTCACCCATGTAGGCCGCAATGCGCCCATCCTTGGCCTCAGCTATTGCTATGGCTTCATGTTTGAAGCGTCCCAGGGCGGTGCGCTTGGAGGGCTTCTGGGTCGCGTCAAAAGGGTCGATTTCGACCACCCAGCCAAAACGATTGGATTCGTTGACATAGTCAGGATCGTTCAGATCAAAGCGTTTGTCGAAGTATTCCCAGCCGTAGCCGAAACCTGTGTTGGCGAAACCGTAACGGGCCTGTTCTTCGGTTGGCGCAAAGGTTTCATCCAGCCCGCCATTACCGTCGGTTGCACCGAAGTAGCCGTTGAAGTTTTCCTCGCAGGTCAGGTAGGTGCCCCAAGGCGTTGGGCCCGATCCGCAGTTGTTGACTGTGCCCAGCGCAATGTTGCCGTTGGGGTTCTGCAGCAGAGGTGAATCTGCAGCCGGGCCGGAGAATGCCATGGGGGTATTGACCGTGATGCGACGGCTGTTCGGGCTGCTGACCACGTTCCAGGTTTTGTACTCTTTTTCCAGTGCAACCACCGAAACACCCAGAACGTTTTGTGCCAGTCGTACATCCTCCAGAGACTCCGGCGCAGATTTCCCCAGCACGTGGCTGTTGCTGCCAAATTCGTGGTTGATGCACAGCATGCCTTTGCGATTGCTCATCTTGTAGCCGTACGCGCCGTAACGTTTGCCTTCATTCTGGTCTTCCGGGAAGAACCACATGCCATCATGGCCAATGCCGATCTGTTTGCTGGCTTGTTCGGAGGTGGGACGTGCGTTCGGGTCGCCCAGGTAAGCTTCCGTTGCGCCTGGCTCAATTGGAGTACCCCAGGGAATGATGACTTGATATTCATAATCGTTCGAGATGGTCGGTAGCGTCTGGTCAGCGGTGGCCTGCTCGAGGGAAACAGTCTCGAAATTAACCAGTTTACGTTTCTGTTTCTGTGAGGTCTTTTTCTGCTCCTGATTGTCATCCCAGGTTGCCATGGCAGCAGGGGCAACAAAGGCGGTGGCGGCTCCGGCCAGGCTGCCCTGGGTGATTTTGCGGCGTGTGAAGTGTTTGTTAAGCACATCACCAAAGCTGCGATTTGAACTTGGGTTGCTCGATTGGTTTTCGCTCTCATCAGTCACGTTTAACGTCTCCCATCTATGTGTCAATTTAGGACAGGTTTATGCCTGTGTGATCAGGTTAGGCAGAGCAGGTGACACGGTCGTGTCCGTTTGGTTACAGAAAAATGTCGACAGAGGTTTCTTGCTTCTCTGCTTCGTTTAAACTTACCGATTTTTGGAAATCCAACCTTGAGTACACTTGATCAACCGCTGACGTTTACCCGTGGCCCGCAAATGAAAAACCGCTTCATGCTGGCACCGCTGACCAATTCCCAGAGTCATGAAGACGGTGTCATGAGCGAAGAGGAATTTCACTGGCTGACATTACGCGCAGCAGGTGGTTTTGGTCTGACGATGACCTGTGCGGCTCATGTTCAGGCAGTGGGTAAAGGTTTTCCTGGGCAGCTGGGTATCTGGAGCGATGATCACCTGCCTGGCTTGACCCGCCTGGCACAGAAAATAAAAGCAGAAAACAGCATTGCCATCGCACAACTGCATCATGCCGGCATGCGTTCGCCTGCTGAGATCATCGGGTGCGCGCCAGTGTGTCCCAGTGATGACGAAGAAACCGGTGCCCGCGCCCTGGATACGTCTGAAACAGAGCAGTTGATTGAGGATTTTGTTGTGGCTGCGCGGCGCGCCGAGCGGGCTGGCTTCGACGGAGTAGAGCTGCACGGGGCCCATGGCTACATTTTGTGTCAGTACTTCAGCGCTGAAATTAATAAACGGGACGATCAGTTTGGCGGCAGTGCCGACAATCGATGGCGTATTCTGTTTGACATTATTGAGGGTATCCGCAGTCGCTGCGGACCGGATTTCAGTCTTGGTGTGCGTCTGTCGCCGGAGCGGTTTGGCATGCAGCTAGCAGAAGTGAAAGACATGGCCGCTCGGCTGATGCAGAGTGACCAGCTTGATTTCCTTGATATGTCTTTGTGGGATGTGTTCAAGCTGCCTGAAGAAGAAGCTCATCAGGGACAGAATCTGATGGCGCATTTTACTGAGTTGCCCAGAGGCAATACGCGTCTTGGCGTGGCGGGCAAAATCCGCACACCCGCTGAAGCGCAGGCCGCCCTGGATGCAGGCGTGGATTGGATAATGCTGGGTCGAGCGGCCATCCTGCACCACGATTTTCCAAACCAGACCCTGCAGAATTCGCATTTTGAGCCCGTCAGTTTGCCAGTGACCCGCAGTTATCTGGCCAGCGAAGGCCTGTCGCCTAAGTTTGTTGACTATATGGCGGGCTGGAAGGGTTTTGTCAGCGACGCATAACTGCCTTGACCTGATGAGGCTGCAGCGGCACGATAATCGGATGATGCCGCTGAAACGACAATTGTCCTGAAACGGATGTCGGCCACCGTCCCTGTAAAACGATATCGACCGTTGCTCTTTGTGGTAACGGCAGCTCTGCTTGTGCAGAGTTTGTTCCCCAGTGGCACCATGCCCGGCAATCTCAGTGGTGGCTGGGTAGCCACCTTGTGTCCGGAAGGTATGCCTGTTGGCTTTATGGCGCAGCTTGCGCCCGCTCCGAACCCTGCTGATCCTCATGCCGGCCATCACGGCCATCACAGTAACCACGGCACGGAACACGGCGCTGATCACCAGGCTGTAGGTGACTGTCAGCTGGGCAGTCAGATCGATCAACCGTTTACCCTAGCTTCGCAATACACCCCCGACAATTCGCTGCAGGTTGATCTCGCTCCGGTTGAGAAATGGACTGCGGCGTTATTCGCTCGTGAGATCTACCGCCAGCAACCCCGTGCACCCCCTCTGTCTTAATCTGCTTTTTTAAAACACAGCATTTTTATATTTGTAGGAGATGAGACATGCGCTTACTAGGCGTAGTGCTGCTGCTGGCAGCACCTGCGGGTTGGAGTGAACCCGCCCAGATGGAAGAAGTTGTGGTGGTGGCAGACCCCCACGTCAGAGTTTTTGAACTGGCTGAAACAATAGACATAGCGCCGGACTCGGCCACAATTCTGCGTAAAGCCGCCGGTGCCAGCGTGGTACAGAATGGCCCGCTGACCGGCATGGCTCAGTATCGAGGCATGTCACGGTTTCGTGTCAGTACTCAGGTCAACGGTATGGTGATCAGTGCGGGAGGTCCCAACTGGATGGATCCACCGTTATCCTATGCGCCAGCGGCTCATCTGGAGTCGTTGCAGGTTTATCGCGGCATCGCCTCGGTCAGTGCAGGCCTTGAAACTATTGGCGGGGCCGTCAAAGCCAGTACCTGGCAGGGTGATTTCAGTGAGACAGGTGTCGAAGTGGACGGGCGACTGCGTACCGGTACCCAGAGCGTTAACGGTGCGGCGCTGTTCAGTGCGGCAGCTGCTGTTTCCAACGAATCTCATCTTTTGCGGGTCAGTGGCCTGTCTGAGTTTGCGGATGATGCCGAATTCAGTGGTGGCGAAATTCTACCGTCTGAGTATGAACGCGAGCGTTTTGATATCGGTTATGGTTTCCGTCGTGGTGCACATACCTTTCGAGTGGATTACGGGCGCAGTGAAACTGGTGATACAGGTACCGCAGCACTACCCATGGACATTGCCTATATCGATGCGGACCTGGTCAACGTGGCCTGGCAATATGACGCAGACGATGTGCAACTGTTAGCGCGGGTACATACCAGTGACATCGAACATGGCATGACCAACTATCATTTGCGCAGCGCGCCGGGAAACCCGGGCATGTGGCGTATGAATATAGCAACCGGTGACAATCGCGGTTTTGCTTTGGCCGCTAACTGGGGTGGCTGGCGTATGGGTCTGGATGGCCATGACGAAGTGCACAATTCGGACATCAGTAACCCTAACAACCCCATGTTTTTTGTGACCAATTTCAATGATGCGCAGCGCAGATTGCTGGGTGTGTATCTCGAGCGTGAACTGGCGCTGTCAGATGACTGGGGGGCGGAGTTGGGCCTGCGCTATAACCGTGTGACCAGTGACAGTGACGTTGTGAATGCAACCCCTGCGATGATGGGCATGCCGCCTGCGGTGGCTCTGCGGGACAGCTTTAACGCCGCAGATCGTGAACAGCGTGACAACAATATCGATTGGGTGGCCAAACTGCGCTATCGCTATACCGACAATATGGACCTGTATGCAGGTTTGTCCCGCAAGACACGTTCGCCAGCTTATCAGGAGCGCTATCTGTGGCTGCCCCTGATGGCCACCGCGGGCCTGGCTGATGGTAGAACTTATACCGGCAACATTGACCTCGACCCTGAGGTAGCCCATGAAATCGAACTCGGCTTCGATTGGGCCGGGCAGCGTCTGCAGGTGTCACCGCGCGTGTTTTACAAACGTGTGGACGACTATATCCAAGGTACGGCCAGCACCAATATGGCTGCGCTGATGTTTGTGCAGATGATGAACAACGCCAATGGCACTGATAATCCTGCGCCGCTGGAGTTCAATAATGTGGATGCTGAGTTTTATGGTATCGACATGGATTGGTCGTATCAGCTGAACAACCAGTGGTCCCTTGAAGGTGTTGTCAATCTTGTGCGTGGTGAGCGCCGCGATGTAGATGATGATCTCTATCGCGTTGCCGCCCCTAATGGATTTGTGGGCGTGCACTATACCCGGCCCAGGTGGCATGTCGGTGTCGAAAGCTTCTGGGCCGCCGGCCAGAATCGGACCTCGCAGATCAACGGCGAACCCCCAAGTTCAGGTTATGCCCTGTTGAATCTGCAGGGTGACATCACGCTGGCCCAGGGTATGCGTCTGGGTTTTGGTGTGGATAACGTGTTTGATCGAAACTACGCGGATCATCTGAGCGGCATTAATCGCGTTCGTGCTAATCCGGATCTGGCAACCGGTGAGCGTCTGCCCGGTTACGGACGGAACTTTTTTGCACGCATCGATTATAGTTGGTAGTCGATTTTCCAGAACTAAGAGGATACCCATGAACGTGTTGTCTAATGATGAGTTGATGCATCCCGTCGGTGATGATCCGGCCTGGAGCGAAAGTTATTACTTTAACTTTGTTGACCCGGATTCCAAGCTCGCCATATTCACCCGCATGGGTTTCCGTCCTGGCAGCGGCTGGGCAGATGCGCTGCATGTTGTGTATCTGCCAGGCAAGCGCGTGGCGTTTACCTACGGGCGGCGTGACATCGGCTCTGATCTGTCTGCTTATGACGGTGATCTAAGTGCCGGGGATTTGCGTCTGACCTGTGTACAGCCTCACGCGCAATGGCGGCTTGAATATGATGGTCCGGCGCAGGATATTGCTGACGCGGAGATTCTCCTGGAGCGTCGCAAGCAGCGTCCCGAAGGTTGGTTTGTGCCGGCGACCCTGCAGATGGACCTCACCTTTGACTGCCTGACCCAGCCTCACTTCGCGGCGCGAGGGGCGCATGGCCACTTTGAACAGAGTGGGCGCGTGACGGGTCAGATCAAACTCGAGAACGAGACCTGGGAAGTGCAGGGGTATGGTGTGCGCGATAAGAGCTGGGGTCCCCGGGATTGGGGGGGCGGCAATCGTTCTGAAGCACCTGCAGAAAAATCTGGAGAGGTTCCACCAACCCAGGAACCAACGCCTTTTGTGAACTGGTTTTCGATGAATTTTGGTGCGGATGCTGCTCTGGGCGGTTCCTGCTTCAGAGATGCTGACGGTCAGATGAGAGGCGCGGGCTGGTTGCAGCGCGGTGGCGAGACCGTTGATCTGGTCGACGTGGTTATTGAGTCGACTTACCAGGAAGATTCAATTCTGCATACCGGCGTTTTTTTACAGGCCAGCACAAGCACTGGAGAGAAGGTTGAGATCGAAGGTCGGGTGTTAAATGTGTGCCCGACCAAGATTGCGATGCCCGGTGGCGCCACCTTTGTAAACGAAGGTCTGGCAGAATTCAGCTGGAACGGACAAACCGGATACGGCATCGCCGAACACTGGCATGCAGTAGACCTGGGTTAAACCACGGCCTACTGCAGTTGATGGGCGTGCTGTGTCAGGGCTTGCGGAACAGCAGGGTGAAACGGTCGGTATTACCGCTGACGCTGCGACGACCCACTTCGTAAATCAGCTCGTCATCGTAGCGGTAGTGAAGGTCGGAATAGTCGACAAACTCAAAGCCAGCGGCTTCAATTTCCTTGATGGCCTGCACCGGGTCCATACGACGCCAGTTTTCACTGTTATCACTCTGCATGTGGCGTCGGGTGTGATCTACAACACCATATAACCCTCCAGACTTGAGCACGCGGAAAACTTCTTTGTTGAGAATGTCGCGGGTGTCTTCAGTCAGATTGTGCAGGTTGCGGAACGTTAACACCAGGTCGATGTCCTTGGTATCCAGGGTCATGGCACTGAGGGCGAAGCGGCGGCTGCCTTCCGGGCGTGAAAACGAAGACATATCGACGTCCAGCACTTCAACATCGGTTAAGGTGCCAGCTTCGATCTGAGCGGCAACATTCTGCGTGCCGATAGCCACCAGCAGCTGACCTTTCTCCGCCAGGGTGGGGGCGAGGATTTTGCTGTACCAACCGCCTCCAGGGAGCAGTTCGAGCACGCGCATATCTTCTTCTAGACCGAAGAACTTGAGCGTTTCAAGTGGTTTGCGATTGGCATCCCGGGCTTTTTCCGCGTCGCTGCGGCTGTCACTGGCGATGGCGGCTTTCAGTTTTTCTTCGACGTCTGCGAAAGCAGATCCTGCGCTGAGGCTCAGCGCCAGCGTGATAACGACACAGGAAACAAGGTGGTGCATAACATATCCTTTGGTTTTGCTTCAGTTTGAACGGAAGTCATCCTACACGTTTGTCGATACAGACGAAAAGCTTAAGCAGGTGTGCCGCTTGCGCGCTGTGTCGTGCATCCCCGGTCTACCAGCGTGTCTGGCAGCTCATACCACCATCAACCACCAGATTGGCCCCGCTGATCCAGCGCGAAGCCTCGCTGAGCAGGAACAAAGCTGCGTCTGCAATATCATCCCCCTGACCGAGGCGTTTCAGGGGGGCCTTCTGCTGCCAGCGTTGCACACCTTCGGGCCAGGATTGCTCAATGCCGTCACGATGCACAAGTCCAGGGGAGATGGTATTACAACGCACATTCTGCCCACCGTATTCCAGTGCAAAACTGCGGGTCAACATGTTCACACCGGCTTTGCTGGTGGCATAGTGGCCGTGACCGGGCGCGCCATCGCTGCCTTCAATGGACGATATATTCACAACCCGGGTTACTGGAAAGCGGGCACAGGCTTGTTGGGTTAAGTAAAACACAGCATCCAGATTGGTTTGCGTTGTGTGCTGCCACTGTTCAAGCGAAAGCTCCGCCAGCCCGGCAATTGACTGATCAGCAGCGTTGTTGACCAGGGCAGTGAGCGTCATCTTCTGGCTGTCGATTGTGTCCAGCATTTGATTAATCTGGTCTGCATCTGTCAGGTCAGCGCGGACGGCGATGGCCTTTGCCCCCAGGGTTGTCAGCAGCGACTCAAAGTCCGGTGACCTGGTGCGATGGTGTAGCACAACGGTTGCGCCAGCTTCCACCAGGCGGGCAGCGGTAGCGTGCCCAATGGTGCCCGCCGCGCCGGTGATCAGTACACACTGTCCCGTCAGGTCGAGTAGCTTGTCTACGGATGGGGTCATGAGGTTTCCTATGTTGTCAGCTTGCGAGTGTGCGTAGAATCCAGTTTATAGTTTTAAGGTACGGGTAGGATATGGGGGATTTTGCAGGTCTGGTGCCGGCGGCATCGCAGGGTCAGATGGCTGAGCGCTTCTATACCCAGGAACGTTGTTACATCAGCGAGTATATGAATACCCCGGAAGCCGCTGCGGTTTCATTGGCGCTGTGTACCGTGGCCCCGGGGGTCACTACCCAGTTACACAGTCTGACGGTGGAAGAGCGTTATATCATCGTGCAGGGCCGAGGGGTGATGGAGCTGGCCGAATCCGAGACCTTCCTCGTTAACGTTGGGGATGTTGTTATCATTCCTGCGGGTGTTGCCCAGCGCATTCGAAACGTGCTCGAAGAAGATCTTAATTTTTTATGTGTCTGTACGCCAAGGTTCCAACCTGAACACTACCGGGTATTGGAAACCGAGCAGACCCAGCCACTGGACATTGTATTGTGATGGATTTCATTCGGGTGCCAATCGCGGTTGTTGTCATCCTGTTTATCTGCTGGCTGATGTCTGATAACCGTGCGCGTGTGCCCTGGCGCCTGGTATTTATCGGACTGGCCATGCAATTCACGTTTGCGCTGCTGGTGTTAGGGTCCTCCATTGGTCAGCAGGTGTTACGTGCCATAAGTGATGGCGTCACACAGGTGGTGGCCTCTTCTGCCGCCGGCGCAGAATTTGTTTTTGGTACTGGTTACCAGGAACATTTCATCGCGTTTTCGATTCCGGCCACCATCATCTTCTTTTCCCTGCTCATGTCATTGCTGTACCACTTCGGCATCGTGCAATGGATTGTGAAAGGTATGGCGGCGGGCATTCGTAAACTGCTGCCTGTGTCAGGTGCGGAATCGCTGACTGCGTGCGCTAACGTCTTTATTGGTAACACCGAAGCGCCACTCATCATTAAGCCGTATATCGCGGGTATGACCCGCTCGGAAATCATGGCGATGATGACGGCTGGAATGGCAACCATAAGCGGCGGCATGCTGGCGGTGTATATTGGACTTGGAGCGGATGCGGGTTACCTGATTACTGCATCGCTGATGGCTGCACCCGGCGCGCTGGTGGTGGCCAAGATCATGGTGCCGGAAACCGAAAATCCCGTAACGATGGGCAAAGAAGTTGTAAATCTGCCGTCTGACTCAGTGAATATGTTTCAAGCCATGACTAAAGGCGCATCAGATGGTCTGATTCTGGCGGCCAATGTAGTGGCCATGTTGATTGCCTTTGTCTCTATGGTGGCGCTGCTCAACTGGCTCATGGGTCTTGCGCCAGATGTACTGGGTGAACCGTTAACATTGCAGCGTGTGTTTGGTTGGGTGTTTTATCCTTTTGCAGTACTGATTGGCGCGGACCTTGCTGATGCCGCAAAAATAGGCAACCTGTTGGGGATGAAGATATTTCTGACTGAATTTCTGGCCTATACCGAACTGCAGACGTTAGGTGATCAGATATCCGATCGCTCCAGAGCAGTGGCCACTTTTGCCCTGTGTGGATTCAGCAGCTTTGTGTCTATCGGAGTGCAGGTAGGCGGTATTGGTGCGCTGGTGCCCGAGCGACGTGATGACATCGCCCACACTGCACTGCGATGCATGATCGGTGGCACCCTCGTGACATTGATGACAGCCACCATCGCCAGCCTGTTCTTTTAAACCTGCGAGCCCAGTGAACAAGGAAAATAAAACATGACAGCAGCGGTGTTAACACAGGACCAACAGCAACAATTCTCCGAGCAGGGGTATGTTGTGCTGGAGAATTTCAAATCACCAGAGGCGCTTGCAGGTCTGCGCCAGGCAGCCCAGGACGTTATTGAGGGCTTTGATTTTTCGTCGCACCAGCATGTTTTCTCAACCACAGCTGAAGCAGCCGCTCTGGGTGAGTACTTCCTCACCTCTGGCGATCAGGTGCGCTGCTTTCTGGAATCCGGGGCCGCTGATGAAAATGGTCAGTTGCGGGTGGATAAACAGTTATCGGTGAATAAGCTGGGTCATGCCATGCACGATCGTATTCCGGCCTTCCGCCGCTTTTCCGCTGATCCGCGCCTGACCACCTTGATGCATGAGGTTGGCGTACAAACCCCTCATGTCTGGCAGTCGATGTATATTTTCAAACAACCGCAGATTGGCGGTGAAGTGGGCTGGCATCAGGATGCCACCTATTTCTATACCCAACCCCAGAGTGTAAAGACCCTGTGGTTTGCCATTGACGACGCAACTCTGCAGAACGGGTGTTTGTGGGTTGCAGATGCGGGTTCAGATACGCCGCTGCGTGAAGTGTTTGAAGTGGTTGATGGCCGTCCGCGAACACGGCGACTTGACCGGACGCCCTGGCCCGATCTGCAGCAGGCCAAGCCTCTGGAGGTGAAAGCCGGCACGCTGGTCTGCTTTTCAGGCACCTTGCCGCACTATAGTGGGCCAAACACATCAGACAAGGCGCGCCACGCATATACCTTACATGTTGTCGATGGTGAAGCGGATTATCCAGTGACAAACTGGATACAGCGGGGTGAAGATCTGCCGGTGCGTGGTTTCCTCTGAGTTGGCAAACCGCCGCGGCCAGGCGCCTGATGCTAATCTATGTGGTTGCAGGCAGAGTCTGTGTGATGCTGGCCTGTAACTGTTCGCTGCTTTGGGACTGTTCGGTATCAATGAAAACCGTTCTGCGCTTTTCATCAGCCGCCATGGGCTGATAGGTGTCGAGCTGATGTTCGAGCACAACCAGGTCGGCTTCGGAGATGTCGGAACCTTCACTCTGACGCGCGCTAACACGTTGTTTAAGGGTCTCAGGTTCTGCGTGGAAGTGTAAAATGCGCATCGGAACGGACAATCCCTCTGCTAACTCATGGAACTGATCCCGCTGGGATTTCTCGAGGAACGTGGCATCAATAATCACGGGATATCCCGCGGCTAGAATGACGCCGGCTAATTCGGCTAACCTCTGATACGTCTGAGCGCTTGCATCAGACGCATAGATACCAGTGTCGATGTTTGTTGTTTTGTCATTCGATGAGCTTCTTCCAAACAGGCGCTGTCGCTCGCGGTCAGAGCGAATACGGATGGCACCCATGCATTCAGCCAGCGGTGCTGACAGAGTAGATTTACCGCTGCCGGACAGGCCGTGGGTGATGAGCAGGATCGGGTGTTGTGGCTGTGTATAGCCCACCGCAAGCGCCAGATAGCGTTCAAAATGTGCAAGCGCTTCACCATGCTCCGCTTCGGTAAGTTCCTGTGAGAGGCGTATGCTGGCGATCTTGGCGCGCACGGCAGCGCGGTATGCCTTGTAGTAGGTGAGCACCTGGACGCCTGCATAATCACCGGTGACTTCCAGGTAGCCGTTCAGGAAGCGGTACGCATGCTGTGGTTTGCCGTAGTCCTCGAGGTCCATCAGCAGAAAACCGATTTCACACATGACGTCGATCCAATACAGATCGGGATTGAACTCGATGCCGTCGAAAATCACTGGCAGGTCATCAATTACCGCCATGTTGCCCAGGTGCATATCGCCGTGGCACTCGCGAATGAAGCCCTGTTGTTTGCGTGCGTCAAATTGTCGCAGCCAGCGTTGGTATTCGCCTTCCGCCCATGTCTGTATCTCGCCAACCTGCTGGACATGGGCCGGTGAGCAGTTGCCCTGCAGAATGTGTGCAAAGTTCTCCAGTACCGGGGCGTGAACGTGCTGTGGTGTGCCGTAAGGGCTTGCCTGGGGCGCGGTGGGAATGTCCATATGAAACTGCGCCACCTGAGCGATGATCTGGTCGATATGGGTCATTGTGAGGCGGTCATCGCGGACCATATCGCTGAGCAGCCCTTCCTGGGAAAAGCGGCGCATTTTCACCGCATACTCTATCGCTTCGCCGCTGCCCTTTATCTGCGGGTGTTGTGGGCTCCCGCAGATCGGTACAACCTCGAGATAAAGCTGCGGTGCCAGTCTGCCGTTCAAGCGCAATTCTTCGCTGCAGTAAAAGGCGCGTTTCTCCAGGGTTGTAAAATCAAGGAAGCCAAGATCCAGCGCTTTTTTAATTTTGTAGGCATAGGGGCCGCATAAAAGGACCCAGGAAATGTGTGTCTCGATGAGCGCCATATCATCCGTTGTATGTGCAAACAGAGACGGATTCTGCAGCGCCTCAATAAGGATGTGCTGGTCGGTGGTGTGCATGACTAGGTGTCCGGTTTCTGCAGGGCTTCCAGATGTTTGCCAATGATGTTGTAGATGCCTGGGCGATGGGTTTTGATTTCTTCAAGACTTAAACCTTCCAGGGAGTGGGGGTACTTCAGCCAGGCTGTGGTTTCGTGCAGGTAGTAATCGGGTACCAGTGCAGTTTCATTGCGGGTGGGTTTGTAATACGGCACCGCGACGCGAATATCTGCAGGTGTGTTTTTACGCAGCTTTTTTTCAATGTTGTCGATAATGGCGGCAATGGTGTGACCCGTGTCAAACACGTCATCCACAATCAACAGGCTGTCTTCCCGTGTGAGTTTTTTGATCAGATAGCTTAAGCCATACACGGCAACAGTCCGTGCACGATTGTCGATGCCGGTATAGGCGCTGGTGCGTATTGAGATATGGTCGCTGTCGACACCCTGGTAGGCAAAATATTCCTGTACCGCTATGCCGATGGGTGCGCCGCCGCGCCAGACGGCAACAATGAAGGTGGGGCGGAAACCGCTGTCGTAGATGCGCGATGCCAGGCGGAAAGAGTCTTCCAGCAGGGTCTGGGCGTCGAGGTAGGTTTTTTCGCTCAATGTAGATGTTTTACCCGTGGATTTTTCTTAGTATGCCAGGCTCCCCTGTACAAGCAGAGCCCCATCAGCACTCAAGATAAAATATTTGTTACTGAAGATGAGCAGATCCTGGATGGCTACCGTCTTGGTGAGCAGATTTATACCAGTGGCTTTCGTCCAACGTTTATCGTCGGCCTGTGGCGGGGCGGCAGCGCGGTGGGCCTGGTGGTGCAGGAGTGTCTCGCGACGCTGGGCATTGAAACGGATCATATTGCGCTGCGCACCTCTTACCAGGGGCGGGCGCAATATGAACTGATGGCTGCCCAGAAAGCGCCGTTGCGTGTCCACGGTAAACAATATCTGTTAGAAAACCTGAACGCAGAAGACCGGTTACTGATTGTGGATGATGTTTTCAGCAGTGGCAGGCACACCCAGGCGGTTGTGGATGCGTTGGCAAAAGGTCTGAAGCGTAATTTGCCGACCGATATTCGCGTTGCTACGCTCTGGTGGCGTCCTCAGGATGAAGGTGTGGGTCCGAAACCGGATTACTTCCTGCACAAAACCAGTCAGTGGCTGGTGTTACCTTACGAATTGAATGGCCTCACTGAGGCAGAGGTCATCGAGCATAAACCGTTTATGGCTGAGCTGTTGCGGCCAACTGAAGAGGGGTCTTAGGACTCGGTTCTGCATGGGCCGGTTGCAGAGGTCAGCGGTCCAGGTCCAGATGCATCTTTAGCGCTGCCTGGGTGCCGCTGGTGAAAGCGTCCTCAACCTCTGCGCCGAGACACCAGTCACCAGCCAGAATCAGATGGTTATCCAGCGCCAGATGCGATTGCCCCAGCGGTGTTTGTGTTAACGCAAACTGCCAGCGGTGAGCGCTGCTAAACATCGGGGCAGAGAAATCAGTAACACAGTCCGTCAATGTCTGCCGCATCATCTCAGTAACATCCGCTGCGTCATCCTCTAAGTGTCTTCGACTCCAGTCACAGTTGGCGTGGGCAACATAGGCAAAGCCGTTTGTCGGATGGGGGCGACCGGGTTTGCTGAAGTTTGCGCCGAGCCAGCTTATGCAGGGGTCGAGGTCCGTGTAGGTTGTCTGCGTTAACGGTCTTTCCAGGCTGACCATCAAAGCCCAGACGGGATCCATGCTGACCGGTGCCAGTAACCCAGGAATGCCTAACCCTGAATTGTCCAGCAGGTCGCGTGCCTGGGGTGCCGGGATCGCCAGCAACACGCCGTCAAAATGTTCAAACGTTTGGGTTTTATCATCGATCAGTTGCCAGCCAGCAGAAGTATGTCGCAGTTGATCGATTCTGCAGTTCAGTTGCGTCGGGGTGTCATCCAACCAGTATTTAGCCAGCTGATTCTGTCCTGGTGCGGCAACATAGCAACTGGCTTTGTGGTGTTTGTCAGCTTCCTGCCAGACTTGCACGGGCGCTGAGGATAATGCCTGCACAAATTCATTGGTCTGCGCGGTGAAGTAGCGAGCACCATGGTCAAATTCACCCGCGGTAGATCTGCGCGTAGCCATACGCCCGCCAACACCCCGACTCTTATCAAATACCGTGATTGAATAACCCAGGTTGCGCAACCTGTGCGCGGCGACGCTGCCCGTCACACCTGCGCCGATGATCGCGATACTTTGCATCTATGCCGCCGGCAGCAGAGCGAAGGCCCCGATACCGATCACCAGTAGAGTTGTCAGGCGGATGCGTAAGGGGATGTACCAGGCAGGATAGACGTCGTCTTCCCGCTCCATGATCTCGTAAGTCAGGATCATGCCCAGGCCAACAATCAGCGCAACGATGCTGAGTTTTGCAGGTAACAGCAGCGCCGTCATTGCCCATAAGCTGGGCACAATGCTGACAAAAATCCGTCGAATGCGTGCATGTTCAGAGACGCTGTGCAGGGCGAAGCCCCATTGGATACCGCCTAGAAAGCAGACAATGGTTGCCACGTAAATAGTGCCCACCCGGGTTGTCAGCGTTTGCAGTTGCGGCTGCAACCACGCGGCTGCCAGCAGGCTGTAAACAGGGATAACGCCGGCATAGCCAAGGTTGACCGCCCAGCGCTTGAGGCGCTCGGGGGAGGTTCGTTCAGGGTCCGCGGGTGTTCCCGATTGAGGCGATGGCTTGGGCACAGTGTTACTCCGGGTTCCTGGGTTGGCAGGTTGGGCACAGGTACAGGCGACGAGAGCCTGCGGTGATTCTCTCGATGGGTGTCTCACAGGTATAACAGGGTCGCCCGGCTCGCGCAAAAGCACTGAAGCGATAGCCGGAACGTTTGCTGCCAGCAGCCTGCAGGCGTTTAACACGACTGGGCAGGTTGGTCACGCCGGCGGTGTCAAAGGCGCGCTGGGTAATCTTCAAGCTGGCGCGAGCCAGCTGGCCAAGCTGTTTGCGGCTCAGGTCCATGGGGCGAGATTCCGGATGCAGTCCACAATCATGCAGAATTTCTGTGCGCAGATAGTTGCCGATGCCGGCCAGGAAGCTCTGGTCCAGATACAGTGCAGACAGGCGTCTGCGTCGATATTGAGGTGCCACAAGTTGAGCGTAGATCATCTGCCAGCTGGTATCAGGGTCCAGGGCCTCGGGGCCCAGCCTGGCGATGTAAGGGTGGTCGGCCACCGCGTCGTCGGCCAGAACGTGAATGTCGGATGCTGAATACAGAAGTGCATCGTGGCGGTCAGTGCTGATGGCAAAACGCAGGCTGCGCTGGGTATTGGGTGTACGACCGCGGCGGGTCACAAACCAGCGCCCGTAGAGTTGATTGTGGGTATAGACGGTATAGCCATTGTCAAATTGAGTCAGCATGGCTTTGCTGCGGCTGCTGACCCCAAGCACGCGGGCGCCGGTGAATGTCTGGGCCCAGGATTGCAGGTGTGGCTGTCCAAAAACCACAGCCTGGGCAACCTGGCCGTTTAATACTTTGTCGATGCGTTGGGCTGCACGGCGGATTTCGGGGCCTTCCGGCATAATCACTGTTCCAGGTTATGGACTAATCGAGGACGGAAGGGATTCTAAACCAGAAAATTGATTGATGTCTAAGATATGTACAATTTAAGCTTGCTAAATTCTGGATGCCGTCAAAGAAATCTGCGCAGCAGCGCGATCAGGAGAGAGAGGATAACTGACACCACAATCATTGACGCCAGCGGAAAGAAAAACTGCATGTTCTCGGTTTTTATATGGAAATCGCCCGGCAGATGGCCAAACCAGCTGATCACGCCAGATTTAGCAACGAGTCCTATCACAATGAGGACGGCGCCGATAATAATGAGTCCTGTGCCAATGGAACTGTGCATAAGCGCGCCTACCAGCCCTGGCTGCCCGGCACACCTTTGATCGGGCCGGTGATGTTGGCCGTCACCCAGCCGCCATAGTATCCGCCGGGTTGGGGTTGCACGGTTTCACCGTCGAGGCGGCAGTTGAGTTTCCCTGGATAGAAGCTTGGCCACAGATACAGGCTGCTGAAATCTGCAAACATCTGGGCATAACGCCAGCCGGCATCCACTATGCCCGCTGCAGTGATGCTCTGCGCAACACCTTTCCATTCGCAGATGGAGGTCAATTCGCCGTATTCCAGCAGGTCCGTATTTGTATCATTTGGCGGAATATATACGGTAGGTGCGCCGGCGGTTTCCAGGACGCGTACAGCTTTGACTGTGTCTGCTATGAGCTGGTCGCCGGCGTAAACGGTGACGCGGCCTTTACAGGGCACGATGGCGGGTGGGCGGGGATAATCCCAGACGGACTCCTGTCCGGGCTGGGTGGGTTCCGCAAAATCGGGTCGCGCCTGGCCAGTGTACTGCCAGCCTTGCCGGGCGCGCAGGATATCGGGTTGTTCGGGTAACAGGGGTATAGTGTTTTTTTCTTTCATGCCTGCAAGCCTCGCAAACAACGGCGTTTGAGGCCAGATCTGTTTTGGAGTTTTAGATGTATAACCCGGCCCAACCTTATGCTTCCCAGCGTTCACCCGTCGCGGCGGAGAATCTTGTCGCTACGTCACAGCCACTGGCCACCCAGGCCGGCCTGGCCGCGCTGATGCGTGGCGGTAATGCGGTGGACGCGGCGCTGGCCAGTGCCATAACCCTGACTGTGGTGGAGCCGAACAATAACGGCGTTGGTAGTGATGCCTTCTGTATTCTCTGGGATGGCAGTGAGCTGGTTGGTCTGAACGCATCCGGGTGCGCGCCTGCTGCCTGGGACCTGCAGCACTTTGCCGGTTGCAGCACGATGCCGGATCTAGGCTGGGACAGTGTCACGGTGCCTGGCGCGGTCAGCGCCTGGGTGAAGTTATCAAAACGCTTCGGCAAGCTACCGTTTGCAGACCTGTTTATTGATGCGATCCGTTATGCACGTGATGGCTTTATGGTGGGTCCGAAGTCAGCTTATTACTGGCAGTTGCTGGAGCAGCGTTACGCCGCTTTTCCTGAATTCGGTGCCCACTTTCTGCCTGCGCCGCAGGCTGGGCAGCGTTTTAAGCGGCCAGATCTGGTAAACACGCTGGAGCGTATCGCCGCCAGCGAGGGGGAGGATTTTTATCGAGGAGAGCTGGCTGACAGGATGGATGCAGCAGCACGGGCAGATGGCGGCTTGTTGCGAAAGTCGGACCTTGAGGCGCATGACGCGTTGTGGGTTACTCCCACGCAGCAACCTTATAAAGGTGTAGTCCTGCATGAAATCCCGCCCAATGGTCAGGGGCTGGCTGCACAGATTGCCTTAGGTATTCTGCAGCACCTGGAGGCTGCGCCGGTGGACTCTGAGCTGTGGCTGCATTACCAGATTGAAGCCATGAAAATTGCGGTGCGGGCGGCGCAGGACCATTTTGCTGATGCCCGTGCCATGACTGTGACGCCGGAGGAGCTGCTGGCACCTGGCTCGCTTGCAGCGGCGGCGCGTTCCATTGGCGATCAGGCGAGTCCGCTTCCACCTGTGGCGTTGCCGGTGAGTGCAGACACGGTATACCTCACGACGGCAGACGCGAGCGGCATGATGGTGTCGTTCATTCAATCGAATTACCTGGCGTTTGGGTCTGGTGTGGTGATACCCGGTACCGGCATTTCGCTGCAGAATCGCGGCGCCGGGTTCAGTCTTGATCCTGATCATCCCAATTGCGTCGGTCCGGGAAAGCGGCCTTTTCATACCATCATCCCCGGTTTTGTTACCCGGGATGGCGCGCCGGAAATGAGTTTTGGTGTGATGGGCGGGCATATGCAGCACCAGGGTCATGTGCAGATGGTGACCCGCATTTTTGATCATGGTCAGAATCCCCAGGCGGCCAGCGACGCGCCCCGGTGGCACGTCGATGAAAAATTTTCTGTGGCGCTTGAGGCTGGCCTGGACCCGGCATTATCCATGGGTTTGCAGGCCCGGGGCCATCGTGTGATCACAGATGCGCGTGAGAGTACTTTTGGCGGTGCTCAGCTGATACAGAAAACTTCCGATGGCTATGTGGGGGGTTCAGACCATCGCAAAGAGGGTTGTGTGGCGGGCTTCTGAGGTGTCGTAAAAAACAATATAGACAAAAATATACAAACTATCCGCCTAATATCCTGGCGCAGAATATAAATATATGTAGAATTCGCAAAATACGACAAAGCACGGTCTGCCTTATGGATTTACCTCAAGCGCTCTACAATCACCTGCCCAACGCTGGATATTGGGATACCCAAAGCCTGCACGACCTGTTGGTTGAGGAGGGATCTGATCAGACGTTGCGTTCCACCGAGCGATTACTGGAGAAAGCGGACTGGTTGCCAGCACCGTTAACCCTGGAGCTGCTGCATGACGAATTGAACCGGCCCCTGACCCAACTGGTGGTGCAGAGCCTCGAAGCTCAGGCGAAAAAGAAGCGTCTGTCGATGCTGTTTCTGCAACTGCACACCGGTCCACAAGGCCGTCAGGTGCTGATGAGTAATGATGGACGTGGTGCGCGTCGCTGGATCTTCATTGACGATCTGACCCTCGACACTTTTACTGCTGCCCTTGATGCGCTCTGCGCAGGCAAAACCACTCTGGTGTGGCCACACGGTGAGGTGACTAAACTGGTGCGTCAGCTGGAGCGTCGCGATAAAACCCATCAGGTCACCCTACCGTCAGACAACGTAGTTACCCTCGCACTCACGGCATACCCCGCGACGTTGAAACTGGATCCATATCCGGATAGTCCACCGCGACCGGAAAACGAGCTGACCCATTTGGACCGGCTTGAGGCTGAAAGTATCCATATCATGCGGGAAGTGGCGGCTCAGGCAGAGAACCCGGTGATGCTCTACAGCGTGGGTAAAGACAGCGCGGTGATGTTGCACCTGGCGCGCAAAGCGTTTTACCCGAGCCCGCCGCCATTTCCTCTGATGCACATTGATACCCGCTGGAAATTCAGATCGATGTACGAATTCCGTGATCAGATGGCTCAAGACATCGGCATGGAGCTGATTGTTCATATCAATCCTGAAGGCATAGAAAAGAACATTAATCCGTTTGATCACGGCAGTGCGCTACACACGGACATCATGAAAACTCAGGGTCTCAAGCAGGCGCTGGATCATCACAAATTTGATGTGGCTTTTGGTGGCGCGCGCCGCGATGAAGAAAAGAGTAGGGCCAAAGAGCGGGTCTTTTCCTTCCGCAACGAAGCCCATCGCTGGGATCCAAAAAACCAGCGCCCGGAGCTGTGGAACCTTTACAACGGCTACAAGCGCAAGGGTGAAAGCATACGGGTGTTTCCACTGTCCAACTGGACGGAGCTCGACATCTGGCAGTACATCTATCGTGAACAGATTCCCATTGTGCCCCTCTATTTTGCGGCAGAACGACCTGTGGTGGTCCGTGATGGCATGATCACCATGGTCGAAGACGATCGCATGCGCCTGCTGCCTGGAGAAGAGATCCAGACCCGCAGGGTGCGCTTCCGTACGTTGGGATGTTACCCCTTAACAGGAGCGGTGGAGTCCGATGCGGACAATCTGTCTTCCATAGTTCTGGAGTTGTTGCAGAGCCGCACCAGCGAGCGGCAGGGCCGGGCAATTGATAGCGACAGCGCCGGTTCGATGGAGAAGAAAAAACAAGAGGGGTATTTCTAGTGAGTGACACAGCCATAGCCTTAAGCGTTGAAGAGTTGGAAGCACGTGTTCAGACCTATATTGACACTCAGGCCAATCTTGATCTGCTGCGCTTCATTACCTGCGGTAGTGTAGATGACGGCAAAAGTACGTTGATTGGCCGCATGCTCTATGAAGCGCAGATGATTTTTGAAGATCAGGTGACGTCCCTGCAGGCGGATTCGAAACGCCAGGGTACCCAGGGTGGAGATATCGATTTTGCGTTGCTGGTAGACGGCTTGTCTGCCGAGCGTGAGCAGGGTATTACCATTGATGTGGCTTACCGCTTCTTCAGTACGGATCACCGCAAATTTATTGTCGCGGACACTCCCGGGCATGAACAATACACCCGCAACATGGTCACCGGTGCGTCTACTGCGGATGTTGCTGTGATTCTGGTTGATGCCTCTCAGGGGCTGCTGACCCAGACCAGGCGGCATTCGTTCATTGCGTCACTGCTGGGCATTAAACACGTTGTGCTGGCGGTGAACAAAATGGATCTGGTGAACTACGACGAAACCGTTTTCAATCAGATTGTCAGCGATTACGAAGAATTTGCAACGCAGCTGACATTTGAACACATCACCGCCATTCCGCTCTCTGCTTTGAAAGGTGATAACGTTATTGAACGCTCGGGCGCCACCAGCTGGTATGCAGGGCCGACGCTGCTGGGTTATCTGGAAACCGTAGATATTCATCACGATGAAGATACTCAGCCGTTCCGCTTTCCGGTGCAGTGGGTGAATCGACCCAACTCCGATTTCCGCGGGTTTGCCGGCACCGTAGTGGCAGGCAGTATTCAACCCGGAGACGATATCCGGGTGCTGCCTTCAGGCGAAACCGCGAAGGTGGATGAGATTATTCTGCATCACGACAAACTGCATAAAGCGCACACCGATCAGGCGGTGACGCTGACCTTGGACCGAGAGGTAGATGTCTCGCGGGGCAACGTTATTGTGGCTGCAGATTCACCCTGTGAAGTGGCTGATCAATTTGATACATCGCTGGTGTGGATGGACAGCGAAGAAGGCTACATAGGCCGCAGCTACTGGATGATGATTGGCACGACAAGGGTCAACGCCACGCTGACTGATGTGAAGTTTCGCTACAACATCAATACTCTGGAGCATCTGTCAGCCAGATCGTTCGGGTTAAACGATATTGGTCGTGTGACCCTGACGCTGGATCAGCCGATTGCCTTTGATGCTTATCTGGATAATAAAGCCATGGGCGCCTTTGTTCTGATTGATCGTTACACCCACGCCACTGTCGGCGCAGGTATGATCAATTTTGCCTTGCGGAGGGCGACCAACATTCACCGCCACACCCATATTGTCGATAAACAGGCACGTGCGGCGCTGAAAGGGCAGAAAGGCAAGGTCATCTGGATGACCGGGCTAAGTGGCTCGGGCAAGTCGACCGTCGCCAACGGTGTTGAACAGGCACTGCACGCTCAGGGTAAACACACGTTTATTCTCGATGGCGACAATGTCCGCCATGGTCTGAATCGGGATCTTGGCTTCACCGATGCAGATCGGGTGGAAAACATCCGCCGCACCGCTGAAGTTGCAAAACTGATGGTGGAAGCAGGACTGATTGTGATCACCGCTTTTATCTCGCCGTTCCGTTCCGAGCGGGATATGGCACGGGCGCTGTTTGAAGAGGAGGAGTTTGTTGAGGTCTTTCTCGATGTACCCCTGGAAGTCGCAGAACAGCGGGATCCTAAAGGTCTGTATCGCAAGGCGCGTCGCGGTGAGCTGCCGCATTTCACAGGCATAGACTCGCCTTACGAGGAACCGGAAAGCGCCGAACTGCGCATTCCCACGGGGGAAATGAGTCTTGAGGAATCCGTGCAGCAGGTCCTCAAATATGTCTGATGTAATACGTGAGTCACACCTCCGCAGCCTGGCTAAGGCGCTTTCATGGCGCCTCTTAGGTACGCTTTCTACCGCCATGGTTGCCTATTTTGTGACCGGCGAGCTCAAAACCGCAGCGATAATTGGTGGGGTTGAGTTTGTCCTCAAGTTTTTCATCTACTACGCCCATGAACGCCTGTGGGTGTGGTTAAGCTGGCGCACTTCGAAGCGATAAGGTCGGATATGCGCATCATTTAACACTTGAAGGCGTGCGCTCCTGCTAGCATGGGGGCGCTTCAACAATGTGTTGTCCTGATGGCTTTAAGACGTGCCCTGGTTGTAGATGATTCCAGATCAGCGCGAATGGCGCTGAAAAAGCTGCTGGAAGAGCATCAGCTTGAAGTTGATCTTGCCGATTCCGGTGAAAGTGCAATTGAATTCCTCAAGAAAGCCAGCGTGGATGTGATTTTCATGGATCACACCATGCCCGGCATGGATGGGCTGGAAGCTGTATCCGCGATCAAAGCCAACCCCAAAACCGCAACCATCCCGGTCATGATGTACACCACCAAGGAAGGGGAGGTCTATGTTGGGCAGGCGCGGGCGCTGGGTGCTGTGGGTGTGTTGCCCAAAAATGTGCAGCCGCATCAACTGTTCGAAATGTTGCTCAATCTGGGGCTGGTCAAAGAGCGGCGCGATACCGCTGAACGGCAAGAACCCGACACCTACGTGCTCGACGACGTAGATCGCTCTTTAGAGGCGCAGGCGCAAGGCATAGCGGTGCAGAACCTGGTTACCCGGATTCTTGAAGACCAGCACCTCACGTTGCGTGCGGATATTCTGCGCAGTCAACGCAGTTTTGCTAAAGAAGTGGTGCATGAGCTGCTCAAAGAGCAGGCGTTGCAGAAAGCAGAAGAACTCTCTGATGAAGATGAGGTCCCCGAGCCTGCTACAAAGCTAAGTGGCTGGTGGCTGCGCGCAGCGCTGTTTGTTGCGCTGGTGGTGGCCTGCTTTCTGGCGTTCCAGTTCAAACTGCAGCGTGACGGAGCAGTTGCACAGCTGGCCCAGGCTGAAGCCGCTAAGGTTGACCTTGCCGCTGCAAGTCGGGCAGCGCTGCAGGCGGATAACAGTGCGGCTGAACAGCAGATTCAGCAGGTTCGGCAGAGCGCACTGCAAGGCCTGGCTGCGACGCTGAATGTGAACACAGATGTGCCGATGTTCGCCCCGGCGTTCAGCGCCAATTTAGCTCAGCGGTTGTCTGACGTTTTGCCGTTTCTGTCTGAGATGGGTTTTACCGGTGAGGTGGTTGTCACCAGTCACCTGGGACGCTTCTGTCTGGTCATCGATGCAGCAGGCCAATATCAGCTGGCGGCAGATGATCTGCCGATGCTGTCCTGTGACTATGTTGGACACATTGATGAAGACAACACCTATGTCAGTGATCGTCTGTCCGTTGAGTTTGCCCAGTTGCTCAACACCCGTGAAGGCGCGTTGCCTGAACTGGTGCTGCTGGCCCTTGATGGGGGCTCATCTGCCGAAATTGTGTCATATCCAGACAGTCAGGCCAGCGCCGGGCAGTGGAATGCGGCGGCGCAGTTAAACAATCGCGTTGAGATCAGTTTTCGACCCTGAGAAAAATTCACCTGTCTGTGAAAGGCGCGGCCCGGTCTGTGTCCATCTGAACACTTGTGTTCAAGTAAAATAGTTTCACCCTGTTAGATCAGTTATGGTTGCACCTCGCAGAGCCTGCATTTTTTAACACAATAGAGGGGATCTATGGCGTTTCAACCGTTTGATTTAACTGGCCGTGTTGTTCTGATTACCGGCGGTAATGGTGGCATTGGTCTGGGTATGGCTAAAGGTCTTGCCGAGGCTGGTGCAGAAGTCTGTATCTGGGGAACAAACCCGGCTAAAAATGAGGCGGCGCTTGCGCAACTGGCTGAGATTGGTCCGAAGGTCAGCGCCAGCGTCTGCAACGTGGCTGACGAAGCAGCGGTCGAGGCCGCGTTTGCTAAAACCCTTGCTGATCATGGCCGTGTAGACGGTTGTTTTGCTAATGCCGGCGTTGGCGGCCGTGGTACGGGTTTTGATGACATGACCCTGGAGGAGTGGGAACACGTCATCAGCGTCAATCAGACCGGCGTGTTTTTTACTTTCCGGGCGGCTGCAAAACATATGCGCGAACGCGCGGAGCAGGGTGATGGGTTTGGTCGGCTGGTGGGCACGGCAAGTCTTGCCGCCATATCGGGGCAGGCTCGGGGTGAGCATTATGCGGCGGCCAAAGGGGGTCTTATTTCCATGATCAAAGCGCTGGCGGTTGAGTACGCCCGCTATAACGTCACCGCCCACACGCTGCTGCCGGGTTGGATTGAAACGGACATGACACAGAGCGCGTTTGATAATCCGAAATTTGTCACCAATGTGAGCAAACGGATTCCCGCCAGGCGTTGGGGTGTGCCGGAAGATTTTGCTGCCATTGCTATCTATATTATGAGCACTGCCAGTGCCTACCACACAGCGGAGACCTTTTTAATCGACGGCGGATATGATTCGTTTTAACGCTTTTGGTTATTGAGGCGGTTGTGCAACGATTCAGTCGAAGTCTGAGCCTGGTACTGCTGGCGTTGGTCAGCTTGTCTGGTTGTGGTGGTAAACAGGAGTCGCGGACAACGTTTTCCATCGCCACAGGTGGCACGGCGGGGCTGTACTATCCGTTTGGGGGTGGCATGGCGTCGCTGTGGTCAGAACACCTGCCGCATGTGAATGTTAAAGCTGAAGTGACCGGTGGTTCTGTCACCAACGTTGTCCAGGTTGCCCGACAGGAAAGCGAATTCGGTCTTGCCATGGCTGATGTGGTGACCGATGCCTATCTCGGCCAGGGGCGCTTCCCCGAACCCTTACCGCTGCGGGTGCTGGTCAATGCTTATCCGAATATTGTGCACATACTGACCCTTGCCGATAGCGGCGTAACATCGGTTGCCGAACTGCGCGGGAAGCGCGTCTCGTTGGGCGCGTCTGGTTCTGGTACGGCTATCGCAGCAGAAAACGTTGTCACTGGCCTCGGTGTCGCGTTGGAGGAGCTGGCAGCGGCCTATCTGAACTTTGGCGAAACAACGTCTGCATTAAAGGATGGCACCATTGATGCGGGTTTTGTGGTGGGCGGCCTGGGTCTGGCAGCGGTGACCGAACTGGCGGTTACGCGCAACCTTGTGTTAGTGCCACTGACGGACGCAGACCTTGTGACTCTGCAAAAAAAGTTTCCGGCTTATGCGGGATATGAGATACCCGCGGATACCTACAATGGCATCTCAGAGCCGGTGCAGGCGCTGGGTATCTGGAGCGCGGTTGTGGTTCATGAGTCGATGTCCGAAGCCCTCGCCTACAGCCTGACCTGTACCCTGTTTGCACACAAACAGGTGCTGTTAGGGGTCTCGCCGGTGGCTGAAGATATGAGCGTGGCCAATCTTACGAAGCTGGCGGCAGTGCCGTTGCATCCGGGCACGCTGAGGTATCTGCAGGCCGTGCAGGGCAGCACTCCGGAGCAGGTGGACTGCCTGGCCGCTGACGGTGTCTGAACGATCCATCAGAGATTGGCTCAGTCCCACGGGTCGTCTGGTTTTTATACTGGCCCTGTTATTGTCTGTTTTCCAACTCTGGCAGCCGATCGTGGGTTTCTTCCCGCCGGGGATAGTGCCGTTTGAATCTATTTTCGGTCTGCTTCCCGCCACCTATTTTCGACCGGTACATCTGTGCTGGGTTCTGGTGATCGGCTTTCTAATCTACCCGTTTTCTGCACAGGCCGCTCAGCACCGAGGATGGCGTCTGTTAGATCTGCTGGTGATTGCTGGCTTGTTGTGGTCTTCCTATCGAGTGGTGCAGTTTGACTATCAGGGCCTGGATCACCTGTTGTACGGCTTGTCCTGGCCTGACTATCTGGCGGGTCTGTTGTTGCTCGCCGCCACCCTGGAAATGGCTCGACGTGCGGTGGGTGCGGTGATGATGGTGGTTGGACTGACGTTCATCCTCTATGCCGCGTTTGGCAACTATCTCCCGGACGTGCTGGCAACACGCGGCTTCAGCTTCGAGCGTATAGTCCGTTTCCAGGTGTACACCGGCGCAGGTCTGTTTGGTGCACCTCTCGGGATAGCTGCAGGCGCGGTTTTCAGTTTTGTTCTATTTGGCGCGTTTCTGCAGGTTACCGGTGCCGGTCAGTTTCTGATCAATCTGTCTTTTGCCGCAGCCGGTCGCTATCGTGGCGGTCCAGCAAAGGCCAGTGTCATTGCTTCAGCGGCGATGGGTTCCATTTCCGGTAGCGCCATAGCCAATACGGTGACCACCGGGTCGCTGACCATCCCCATGATGAAACAGTTAGGCTATAAACCCGAAGAGGCTGCGGGTATCGAAGCAGCGGCGTCCACCGGCGGGCAGATCATGCCGCCGATTATGGGGGCGGGTGCTTTTGTTATGGCCGAGTTCACCAAAACCCCATATGGCGACATTGTCTGGATGTCTTTACTGCCCGCGCTGCTGTATTTCACCTCGGTGTTGTTGTACGTACATATCATGGCTGTCAAAGGCGGCTTTACCGGTATGAAGAATCCCGCCGGGGCCTGGCGGGTTCTGCGTGATGGTCTGCATTTCCTTTTACCGCTGGTATTGATCACTCTGTTACTGCTGAACAATTATTCGCCGGTGCTGGTGGGCGTATCAGGTTGTGCCGCGGTTGTGCTGGCAAGCTTGTTGCGTCGGCATACGCGGGTAGGCCTGCCTGAAATTGCCGATGCGCTGCACAACGGTGCACGTATGGCAGTGCCTATTTCTGTGGCCTGTGCCGTTGCTGGGATTGTGGTGGGTACCATCGGGCAAACCGGTATCGGCCTGCAATTCACCGAGTCCGTAGTTGGCATGAGCAATGGGCAACTCTGGCTGGCATTGATTCTGGTTGCTCTGGCCGCGCTTGTGCTGGGTATGGGCCTGCCTGCCACCGCCGCTTATATCGTACTGGCGGTGATGACGGCGCCTGCATTGCAGGAACTGGGACTGGCGTTGATCACTGCGCACATGATTATTTTCTGGCTATCGCAAACCTCCAATGTCACACCGCCAATCGCGCTGGCTGCTTTTGCCGGCGCCGGTATCGCCGGCGCAGCCCCCATGCGTGCAGCGGTAGAGGCTTTCAAACTGGCCAGTGGTTTGTTTGTGATCCCGTTGATGATGGCGTTTTCGCCGTTACTGCTCACCCCGGAGCGGAGCTGGGCAGATGTTTTGCCCGCGGCGGGTTTAACCCTTTGTATGGTGCTAGGCATTGCAATGGCCGTTGAGGGTTACCTGTTTGTACGCCTGCGCAGGTATCTGGTTTTGCTCAGTGCGTTCAGTGTGGTTTTGATGCTGTGGCCATCGGTGCCCACCCGCAGTATGGGGGCAGCGCTTTGTCTATTGGTTGTCGCCGCAAATTATCTTGGCAGCCGCACAGCAGAAACGATTTAAGCGCGGTGGGCGCAAGGTCCGCCATGGTGAGATCAGTTCAGAGTTTCCCGATTCGCAAGCCATTGTTCGTGAGGCACAAACTGGGCGTTGTCCCAGAATCCCCACTGCTGTGATTTTGCACCGGTGACGATCAGCGTCCACACCGGTTTACCGTCGCCCAGGTGCACAATGTGCTGGTGCGCGGCGGGGCGAAAATGGGGCCGAAAGCGTCTTACGGTCACCTGGCCCTGAGACGGGGTTGTTTCGACGTAGTTGCGTAACGGCAGGGTTATGAACCACCAGGGGTGGTCATGAAACGCGCGGTCATCATCGCCTTTGTGGAATTTATGCACGCGCAGAGTGATGCCACACCAGACTATCCAGCGCTCCAGATAGGCTTCGCCATTGTCCAGCACCAGGTCGTGAGTTAAGCCGAAGCGCCACTTCCCGAGATTTTTAACAGCGTCAAAATAAGGCATGAATAGTCAGTCGTAGAATGCGGCGCGGATTGTATAATTGTTGCGTAATCAAGTACCACAAGAGTTCTATGGAAATTTTCAAAACCTCTCCGGAATTAGATAACGCGCTGGTCGATCCGGCTAACTGGAGTCAGGAAGATTGGGTGCATGATCAGTTCAGCTGGCTGCGTGCCCACGCCCCTCTGCGCAAGCTTGCTCCGGAGGGTTTTGAACCGTTCTGGAATGTCACCCGCTATAACCACATCAAAGAGATAGAACAGCACAAAGAGGTGTTCATCAACGACCCTCGCCCGGTACTCGGGCCACAGATGATGCAGGCGATCATGCAGCAGATGTCCGGGCGCAAACATCTTGTCAGGTCGCTTGTACAGATGGACGATCCGGATCATATGAAATACCGCCGACTCACTCAGGGCTGGTTCATGGGCACCAACCTGCGCAAGCTGCAGACTCGGGTGGATGAGCTGGCTGAACACTACGTCGACCGCATGCAGGACATGGGCGGCGAGTGTGATTTTGTTAAAGACGTGGGCATCTGGTATCCATTGCGGGTCATTATGTCGATTCTCGGGGTGCCGGAAGAAGACGAGCCTCTGATGCTGAAGCTGACTCAGGAACTGTTTGGCAGCTCTGATCCAGACGTTTCACGGTCATTCGAAATGACAGAGTTCATGCAGGTGGTTTTGGATTTCGAAGCCTATTTCCAGAAACTTACCGCCGCGCGCCGCGCTCACCCAACAGGTGACGTTGCCTCAGTCATTGCCAACGCCGAAATTGACGGGCAGCCGATCCCGGACCACGAAATCAACGGTTACTACATCATCATCGCCACTGCCGGCCATGACACCACCAGCTCTTCAACTGCCGGTGGGTTGCTGGCGCTGCTGAACAATCCTGAGCAGCTGGCGAAGCTGCAGAGTGATCCGGACACTTATCTGGCTGGTGCTGTAGATGAAATGATCCGCTGGACCAGTCCCGTGCGGCACTTCATGCGCACGGCGACCGAGGACTATGAGATTGGCGGGCAGACCATCAAAGAAGGTGAGTCGGCGATACTCTGGTATCCGTCAGCAAATCGAGATGAAGAAGTATTCTCTGACCCCTTTGACTTCCGGGTGGATCGCAAAGAAGCCAAACATCTGGCCTTTGGTTTTGGTGCCCATGTCTGTCTTGGCCAGCATCTGGCGCGCATGGAGATTACCGCCCTGTTCAAGGAAATGCTGTCCCGGCTGTCCCATATCGAACTGGCCGGCGAGCCAAAATATATGCAATCCACCTTTGTCGGCGGCCTGAAAAGCCTGCCCATACGTTATCAGATGAAATAAGGCCGGGCCGAAAGGTAAAGGCCAGCCAGCGGGCACTTAAGGCCTCCCACACGCAGGCACTTCGTGCTAGATTTCGGGCAGAGATAAACGGTGCGTACCGCGCAGATTTCAAGAGGAGAGCAGACATGGCTGAAGCCATCGAATACAAGCAGATAGGCCGCAGTCCGATACGTCCTGATGGGGTAGACAAAGTCACAGGGCGCGCCCGTTTCGGTGCAGATCTGGTGCTACCCAACATGATACATGGGCGTGTCTTGCGCAGCCCCCATGCCCACGCGCGTATCAAGAGTATTGATCTGAGCGGTGCGTTAGCAATGGATGGCGTGTATGCCGCCATCTGCGGTAAAGACTTCATCGACGTTGAAGGTGGTGAAATAGGTGGTGAAGGCGGGGGCACGCTGGGCGATCTGGCTAAAAACGTTATGGCGCGAGACAAGGTGCTGTACCACGGCCACGCGGTAGCTGCGGTTTCAGCGTCAACCCTGGCCATCGCCGAAGCAGCGCTGGCGGCTATCAAAGTGGAATATGAACCGCTTCCTCCGGTACTGGATGTGGTGGCGGCTATGGCTGCAGATTCGGTGCTGGTAGATGAAAATAACTACACCAAGCTGCCCGAGAAGCCAGATAATCCAAGCAATGTAGCTAACGTGGGCAAGCTTGTCAGAGGCAACCTAGAAGAAGGCTTCGCCGCTGCAGATATTGTGATTGAACGCGAATATAAGGTGCCGATGGCTCACCAGGGTTATATCGAACCTCACGCCTGTGTCGCCAATATGGATGAAACCGGACGCGGATCTGTGTGGTGTTGCACCCAGGGTCATTTTGAGTTCCGCGCTATGACGGCAAAGCTCCTGGGCAAAGATATGGCGGATCTGAAGTTTATCGCTTCTGAAATCGGTGGCGGATTCGGCGGTAAGACCGTGGTTTATCTCGAGCCTCTGGCGGTTATGTTGTCAGAAAAATCAAACCGACCAGTCAAAATGACCATGAGTCGGGAAGAAGTGTTTCGTGCAACAGGTCCAACCTCGGGTACCGTTGCCAGGGTAAAGGTGGGTCTGAAAAACGACGGCACGATAACCGCAGCTGATTCCTGGGTGGCTTTTGAAGCTGGCGCGTTTGCAGGTGCGCCGCACATGCCTGGCATCATGTCGATGTACGCGCCTTATAAGCTGGAAAACTTTGCTGTTGAAGCGTTTGATGTGTTGGTCAACAAACCTAAAGTGGCTGCTTATCGCGCCCCTGGTGCACCCCAGACCATGCATGCATTTGAATGTGCGTTAGACGAAGCGGCGATAGCGTTGAATATGGATCCGTTGGATCTACGCCTGGTCAATGCTGCAGAAGAGGGTACACAAGCCCCTTACGGTCCGAAATTTCCGCCTATCGGCTTTAAAGCGTGTATAGAAGCTGCCAGGAATCACCCGAATTACAAACGTCCTGTGCCTGAGGGTGCGGGTCGGGGTGTGGCTGCGGGCTTCTGGTTTAATGTCGGCATGCAGTCTTCCGCGGAAGTTAACGTCAATGAAAACGGTACCGTCATGGTCATTGAAGGCAGTCCGGACATTGGCGGCTCACGGGCGTCCATGTGCCTGATGGCGGCTGAGACCCTGGGTATTGAATATGAACAGGTCCGTACTCAGGTGGGGGATACGGAAAGCACGGGTTTCTGTAATGTCACCGGTGGCTCACGCACCACGTTTGCGACGGGCATGGCGGTGACTCAGGCCTGTGAAGATGTGATAGCGGAGTGTAAAAAACGCGCATCCATGACCTGGGGGGTGGATGAGGATCAGGTTGAATGGCAGGACGGCGTGGCTATTCCGGCACCTGGCGTTAACGCTGACGTGAAACCATTGAGTCTGGCTGAATTGGCTGGCAATGCAGCAAAGACCGGAGGGCCCATACAGGGACGCGCGTCTCTCAATGCACAGGGTGCCGGTGCTAGTTTTTCCATCAACTTTGCCGATATCCGGGTAGACCGGGAAACCGGCAAAACCGATGTGCTGAGCTATACCGCCATTCAGGATGCCGGCAAAGCGATTCATCCTGCGTATGTTGAAGGACAGATGCAGGGTGGTGCCGCCCAGGGAATCGGTTGGGCCCTGAATGAAGAATATATCTTTGATGAGCAGGGTGTTCTGGAAAATGCAGGATTCCTGGACTACCGAATTCCGGTGGCTTCAGACTTGCCGATGATTGATACTCAGATTATCGAGGTGCCGAATCCGAGCCACCCCTATGGGGTGCGTGGGGTAGGTGAAACGCCTATTGTTGCACCGCTGGCCACCGTCGCAAATGCGGTATCACGTTCGGTAGGTAAGCGTCTGTGTGATCTGCCGCTGTCACCGCCAAACATACTCGCCGAGTTGGATGCCTGACCGCGCGGTAATGTTGCGTAGAAAAAGGGGCTTGCGCCCCTTTTTTTTGCGGTGTAATGGGATGTCAGACAGGTAGAGAGATTGTCACATTGGCTAAAGTTGTTTTTCCCGATAGCTTGTTAGGTTTCACGGGTGGTGAGCGCGAGTGGCACTGCCCGGCGGAAAACTACCGTGAGCTGGTCAAGGCCCTTGTCCAGCGCTGGCCGGAGCTGGAGGAGCCGCTGGAAAGAATTGCAGTGGCGATTGATGGCAACATCTACCAGGATGCTTTCCTGGAGCCAATAGATCCAGACAGCGAAGTTTTTTTCATGTCACGTATAGAAGGTGGCTAGGAGTAGAGCATGAGTCAGGCGCCGGTTTCGGAAGCGCAGCGTATTGAGTCCCTGGATGTGCTGCGTGGCTTTGCTCTGCTGGGTATCCTGTTGCTGAATATCGTTGGCTTTGGACTTATTTCTTCTGCCTATTCTGTGCCGTCAGAAGCAATGACCGGTACCGCTGATCTTATTGCCTGGTCCAGTGTGGAATTGTTTGCCGAAGGCGCCATGCGCGGATTGTTCTCGATTCTGTTCGGTGCCGGGGTGGTGCTTTTTGTCGGGGGCGTTGAAGGACGCGGTGCAGGCGTTCATTTCAAAAGAAATTTCTGGTTGCTGGCGTTTGGTCTCTTCGATGCTTATCTGCTCCTGTGGAGTGGCGACATTTTGCTCAATTACGCGCTGGCAGGCGCGCTCCTGTATTTTGTTCGAGACGTCAGGGCCGGGCGGTTATTGACGACCGCGGTTGTGTTGTTTGTCATGCTGTCGGCTTTTTACGGTGTAACCAACCTGGCCCTGTCTGCGGCACAGCAGGCTGCACAACAGGTAGAGCAGGCCGATGATGTTGCTTCCCTTGATGCCGGTACCCTGGCTGCTGGTGAGCAGTGGCAGGTGTTTGCCGGGGATTTCACGCTGTCTGCAGAACAACAGGCGCAAGAGCTGGCCGCAAGACAAGGCAGCTATCTGTCGGCGCTGGCGTGGAACGCTAAGAAAACCAATGAAATGCTGACATTTGTGTTACCGCTTTATCTATTCTGGGATGCGCTGGCCATGATGTTGTTAGGCATGGCCCTTTACAAATATGGTGTTCTTCAGGGGCTGCGTTCATCGGCTTTTTATAAGAAACTCATGTGGGGTGGTTTTACCGTTGGGTTGCTTGTGAACGCCAGTGAGATTCACCGTGCCATCGATAGTGATTTTGAGCTGCTCAGTGTCTTCGCTCAGGTTCAGGCGACTTATCATGTCGGCAGGCTTGGTATGGCGATGGGTTACATCGGGCTGTTGCTGCTCCTTATCAACAGTTCACTTTTGACAGGCTTGCGCGCACGCCTGGCCAGTGTGGGACGAATGGCATTGACGAACTACCTTATGCATTCGTTGATTGCGCTCATCATATTTACCGGCGCTGGCTTTGCGCTGGTCGGTGAGCTGTCTCGCGCGCAACTTTATGGGGTTGTATTTGCCATATGGGTGCTGCAGCTATGGCTCAGTCCCTGGTGGCTGGAACGTTTTCGTTTTGGTCCGGTGGAATGGCTCTGGCGGGTATTGACGTATGGCAAGCTGATGCCGAACCGCCGTACTAAATAAGACCGCTGTCGAATAAACTGAAGACGAATAATCAGGGGAATAACATGAAAGATCTCGCAGGCAAGAACGCCTTCATTACCGGCGGTGCCAGTGGTATTGGTCTGGCCATGGCCAAAGCATTTCTGCATGAAGGCATGAACGTGGCCATAGTAGATGTTGATGAAAAAGCTTTGCAGACCGCGCGTACAGAATTGGCGGGCAGTAATGCGCAGGTGCTGGCTCTGCAGCTGGACGTCACAAATCGAGAACAATTCAAGGCAGTTGCAGATCAGGTTGAGGCCGAGCTCGGATCCATTCATGTGGTGTGTAACAACGCCGGTGTCTATCGAGGTGGCAGCATGGATGCAGCAACCTACGAAGATTGGGACTGGATCATGGGGGTTAACGTCGGTGGGGTTGTGAATGGGCTTCAGACTCTGGTAAAGCGCATCCAACAGCATGGCGAAGGGGGGCATATTGTCAATACTGCGTCGATGGCCGGGGTAACCACCTCTCCCGGTCTGGGCATTTACAATGCCAGCAAGTTCGCGGTTGTTGGCCTGTCAGAATCCCTGCGTGCTGATCTGGAACCCCACGGAATTGGCGTGTCGGTGTTGTGTCCTGGTATGGTGCGCACCAAAATCCTTGAAAGTGAGCGGAATCGCCCGACGGTTTTTGATGTCACGCAACCCGATAGCGTAGCGGCGGCTGAAGCGCACAGTGAGATAATGAACCTGGCGATGAATACGGGTATCGATGCGGCAGATGTCGCAGATATGGTGGTACAAGGCATCAAAGACAATGAGCTGTATCTGTTTCCACATCCGGAAATGAAAGAAGCCACAGCACAACGTATGTCGGCGATGTTAGACGCGTTTGGAGAGCCGGACCCGGAACGTGTTGCTGCACATGAACAGTTTCTGTCAGCCCTTTTGCCGGGAGATAAATAAACACCAGCGGAGTAATAGAGCTCGGCTAATGGAATCCCAACAGGCTCACTTTGTAGGTGTCCGGATCACCGTGATAAAGCAGCTCGCCGCTGCGGGTGCGCAGCATCAGCACAGCCTGGCGGTCGCCAGCCAGATTGACGAGGTCTTCGCATTGCCAGTTCTGCGTCTGGGCGTATGCAACCATCGCCTGTCCCAGGGTACGCAGATGGGTCGGTTCTAAACTCACACCCACCAGCCATCGTTGTGCACACAGGCCAACAAAACTGCGGAAGTATTTAGGTCGTTGCAGATCTTTCTCGGATATGTCCAGTTGGGCGTTTTCGACGATGCCGGGACCTGCCTGTATGGCGCTGTGAAACAATGCACGCTGGTAGTCATTGCGATGTACCACACCGATACCGCCATCATTAATACCCAGAATGCGTGTATAGCCGTAGCCCTGCACCGGATTAAGGGTCTGGCCATCAATCTGCAGGAGGCCCACGGGCGCCAGGCTGTTCAACTCTGAAACAAACCCACTGCCAATGATTACCCGATAGTCGTTCGCTCGCAGCGCATCGATGGCCGCTATGCCACTCTGAGGTGCAGCGACAATTGCCGGCTCGAAATGGGTAGGATCAAGTTCCAGTACCAGTAAGCGGCTGTCCGCACTGTCCACCCGATGGGGCGTGAGGCCCTCAGCCTGCCAGTAGCTGTGGTCTGTAACATCGCGTTCGGTTGGGGGCAGGGTGCCCGAGACCAAACTCTGCGCACCGCTGTTGCGATCGACAGGTTGCTCTATACCACAACCTGCAACACCCAGTATCAAACCGGCAGCAGCGGTACAAAGGTGCCGTTGAAGCCGGTAGGCTGTTCCACAAATGTGTTGCAAGTGTCTGATTTCAGGCAACTATTAGACTTCAGGCATCACATTAAAGGTGATGCTTGGGTGGCTGGTGGGCGTCAGGAGCGCGTTCTCTACTTCGAAGGTGAGCGCCAGGCTGGTTGCCGCTTCCCCGGGTTTAACGGAGAACGTTGTGGTGGCATGGGGCGCAATGGAAATTCGGTTTGCGTGGTCCATAAACGTCATGTCGGTCTGGTTGCGCAGATCAAAGCTGGCATCAGAATGGTTGTGGATGCTCACTTCCAGAACCTGAGTATTGGGTCGGTATTTAGCCTCGGTTACCTGCAGAGAGGCATTTAGCATCGCGGTCATTTCAGGTTCGCGGGCAATCAGCAGATTTTTAAACCACACCAGGGTTCGTCCAGCGAATAAAGCAGAACGTAAAGCCTCAGGCGTTCGTTCGGTGGCCAGCACCAGGTTGACCGGGCGGTGGCCACCATTGTGTGGCGCGTAGTCCCAATCGATCAGGTCATGAATATCAGACACACCAATCAACGTCAGACTGTGTTCCAGGGCAATCGCGTGCGCCTCGGCGGAATAGTCTTTGCCGTTTGCCACCTCAATGCCGTGCAACTTACCGGCTTCAAGGTTGGCTGCATGGAAATCATTCATCCGGGCGATGCCGTCAGGGCTCTGCACCGTCCAGTAGGGGTGGTTCCAGAACATGAATGCGCCCTGTTCCGCGGCGGCGTCCACGGCGTTCTGCGCCGGCCAGGCATCGGTTGCTTCGTAGAAAGCCCGGACATCTGTTGGGTCCGCAGGCGGCGTTGTCACTTTAAACAGCGCGTTAGCGTCATTTATGAAAATAGCGTTGATATGTCCGGCCGGGTCGCCCCGGGTAATTTCAGACCCGGCAATGACCATCAGATCCGAGCCTTCCGCGGCGGCGACTGTTTCTACATAAGCACGGTTTCTATCCGGGTGGGGAATATCGGCAATATGGGGCTGGTACTCCAGGTGTTCTGTCACCGCCATGGCATCCAGACCATCCCGCAATGCCTCGCCAACGCGTATCTTTGGCCATACGTGACCGTCTGAAAATACTGTATGGGTGTGCAGATCTACCACCAGAGTTTTGTGTCTGGCCGTATCTGGAAAGATGATCTTGCGCGCTTCAGCCTGTATCAATGCAGCAGGATCACCCTCAGCCGCGGGTGCGCTGGCAGCACCATGACCAAACGCATGGGTCGTGAGCAGCAGGCCCAGGGGCAATGCCAGGCGCGAAAGCTGTTTTACAAAAGGTGATGGGCTGGTCTGTACATCTGAGCAGGAGGATGTATCTGACATGAGCAAAATTCCAATGAGATGAAAGACTGGATCATACTGGTGTCCCGCATCATTTCCAGCAGTGTTGTTTCTGTGGCTGCATGGACGTCAGTGTGTGGGTCGCGTCAGTTTTCGATTGGCCCAGATGACAAAGAAGAACAGGGGAATATAGATGAAAAACGTAATCCAGTAAGGCAGGGCAGGCTCGTATTGATAGAAGAAGCCACCCAGCAGTGGACCAATGGTAAACCCAAGTGGCCCGCAGGATCCCGCCACGCCTGCCACAGCCCCTTGTTCTTCGGCAGTAACCGCCAGAGAGGCGCCGGCCATAAAGGCAGGACCGGCAAGCCCCATGCCAGCGCCCTGTAGGACCATCGCGCCCATCAACAGGGCTTTACTGTCAGCAATGGCCATACAGCCGAACGCCACGATGAGAATAGGCAGAGCGATGCGCAGCCACTGAAAAGGTGCAAGGTTGAATCGCTGCATCAGGAACAGCTGGCTACCCAGGGAGGCGGCGGCGCTGAGTCCCATCGCCAGTCCAAATGTTTGAGCGGTCTCTACTGCCGTCAGGTTGAGGATATCCTGAAAGCGAAATGCCAGAGTCTGCTGCACCATGGCCATACCCATGAACATTAAAACGCCAACAAAAATGAACGGCATGATGCGCGCGTCGGTATATTTCAAACGCTTGGTAGCGCGGGTCGAGGTCACGTTGACATGTGGTGATTCGGGCAGGTAAAAGACCACAAACACGGCGGTAACTGCGGCTAAGCCGGCAGCGACCCATAACGGCGTCAGGAGTGTGATACCTGCTAACAAGCCGCCCGCAGCTGGGCCAATGATATTGCCGAGATTAGTGGCTGCGCCAACGGCGCCCATGCCTTTAGTACGCCCTGCCAGATCGGTAATATCAGCCATATAGGCGCTGGCGGAGGGCATCATGGCAGCCATCAACGAAGCGTGCGCAATGCGAGAGATCATCAGAGCGTAGTAGCCGACCACCGGCAGAAGAACGCCGACAAGGGTAATGTGGAATACGCTGGCAAACAGCAGCGTCCCGGCGACGTAGCCAAACAAACCAACCAACAGGACTTTTTTACGTCCCCAGCGATCGCTGAGTCGGCCCCAGCGCGGACTGGCCAGAAAAACTGTCAGAGAAGACGCTGCAATGATGCTGGAGATTTCGAGCTCAGTGAAGCCAACCTCTCGTCCCAGTGGCGCCAGAACGGCAAACAGCACGGTCATCCCAAAACCCATACCCACCAGTGCCGTCAGCAGAATAACCCGCGCATAGCGATAGGTATTTGGGTCAAAATCCGGTGATGTTGGTGTAGCTTCGGTCAAGTCAGCAGGTGATTTGCGAACGGGGCCGCGGAGTGTACCCTAAATACATCTGTAACTAGGAGTATTGCATGGTCATTGTGTACGACCACCCGTTATCCCCGTACGGGCAGAAGGTGAAAATTGCGCTGTTAGAAAAGGGCATAGACTTCCAGGCCGTCATGCCCGATGCCATAGGCTCGGGGAACACCGTCGGTGAGTTTTCGGCTGCCAGTCCACGTGGTGAGGTGCCGGCACTGGTTGATGGCGACGTCACCGTGTTCGATTCCACCATTATTCTCGAATATATAGAAGATCGCTGGCCTGACCCCAGCCTGCTGCCAACCGACCCTGCACAACGTGCCCGCATGCGGATGCTGGAGGATGTCATGGATACCCATTTTGAGGCGATCAACTGGGGATTGTCAGAGATCACCAATTTTCGCCGCGCGACAGGCGAACTGGCAGACACCATGATGGCTAATGCCGCCGATCAGACTCACCGCTGGTTCGCCTGGTTGGAACAGGAGCTGGGAGATGCGACCTGGTTCAATGGAGAACACTTTGGCTGGGGTGATCTCAGTGTTGTTCCTTATGTGAATGGGTCAGTCGGCTTTGACCTGGCACCTGAAAAATCTTCCCGTCTGGGTCAGTGGCTGGAGCGCGCCAACCAGCGAGAGAGTGTGCAGCAGTGTAATCAGGCAGCAGCTGCCGTTGCCTTTGATAGCCCGGCTGTCAGTCTTGAACAGGTGCATCAGGCGTTAGAGGCGGGTCTGTTCAAGCGCGAGTATCGCGATCATCGCCTCGAATGGATGGTGAAAAGTGGTGGTCTGTCTATCGTTGAGCAGGGTTTAGCCAAGAACAACATACGCTTCATCGAGCCCTTTGCGGTTGATACAGAAGACAGCTAGGCAGGCATCTGTGCGCCTTCAGGTGCACATGCTCAATGCAGTACTTCGGGCTCGGACCAGCCGGTCCAGCCAGGACCCCGCACGACGCGGCCGGGTAAGCGGCCGGTTGGCTCACCATCGGCCAATGCCCGGGTGCCGTTAACAAAAACATGCACCATGCCTTCGCTGTACTGGTGTGGCGTGTCATAGGTTGCCAGATCGCGCACCAGTTCCGGGTTGAATACGGCGATATCGGCAAAATAGCCTGGCTTGAGCTGACCGCGTTTAACCAGGCGGAGGTTCTCTGCGGGTAGTCTGGTCAACTTGCGGATGGCTTCAGATAAAGACACCAGCTTTTCCTCGCGCACATATTTCCCTAACACCCGGGCGAAGTTTCCATAAGCGCGCGGATGTGTGCTGCGGGCGAGGAAAACGCCTTCTGCTGCCATCGAGGCAGCATCCGAACCAAAGCTGACCCAGGGCAGTTGCAGGGTTCTGGCAACGTTTTCCGGGGACATCAGGAAGTACACCACCTGCACACGCGAGCCGTCTTCAATCACCAGATCTATGGCGGTTTGCGCGGCAGACATTTTTCGTTGTGCGGCGATGTTGGCCAGCGTTTTGCCGGTGTAATGTCTCAGTTCAGGATTGGAAAACCCCACCAGCAGCGTGTTTTCCGGGCCGGCAGCGCGCAATAGATTTTCCCACTCATCAGTAGGGCTGGTCATCTGCTTGACCACCTCAGCGCGTATGTCAGGTTGTTTGAGGCGATTGACCCAAGCTTCATATCCACCTTCCTGCACCCAGGGTGGCATGGCCGCGTCCAGGCCGGTTGAGCCCGCTGTGTAGGTGTACATATTGGCTGTAATGTCCAGGCCTGAGGCGCGCGCCGTTTCGATTAAGTCGACGGCGGCTTCAAACTTTGGCCAGTTCTGTCGGCCGCTTATTTTCAGATGGTAGATTTCAGCACCGGCGCCGCTGTGTTGTGCAATTGTGATCAGTTCTTCAATGGATTCGAGCAGGCGGTTGCCTTCGCTGCGCAGATGGGAAATATAGCGTCCGTTAAATTGAGCTGCGGTTTGCATCAGCGCGATGAGTTCGTCGGTTTGTGCATAAAATGCAGGCGCGTAGATGAGCGATGAGCCGACGCCCAGTGCGCCCTCCCGCATTGCCTGGGCGACCAGAGCCTGCATTGCTTTGAGCTCGGCGGGATTCGGTGCGCGATTTGCAAAACCCAGTTCGTGTACCCGTACGGTGGTTGCCCCCACAAAAGACGCCACATTAGGTGCGATGCCTTTGTGTTCAAGATGAGCCAGGTATTCACCCAGTGTGGTCCATGGAATATCAAATTGAATCTCTCCCTGGCGCTCCAGCATCAGCGCGCGCATCCGGGGCGTCAGTGGGCCCATGGAGCTGCCTTCACCAAAAACTTCGAGGGTGACGCCCTGCCGTATGTTGCTCTGACTGGCGCCGTCAACCAGGAGGGATTCGGTGGCCCAGCTCAGCATGTTGATGAAACCTGGTGCGACCGCAAGGTTTGTGGCATCGATAGGCAGATCAGTCTGATCTGCAGATATTTTACCGATGAAGTCGATTTTGTCGCCACGGATGCCCACGTCAGCGACAACTGGGGTGCCGCCACTGCCGTCGTACACGGTACCGTTAAATAACACCGCGTCGTAGTAGGGGGCGTCAGGCTGGGTGCCATTGTTGTCGTCTGTGTGAGTTTTTCCCGCCTGGCTGCCGCTGCAGGAGAACAGCAGGGCGCTGCATGTGCAGGCGAGCGCCAGATACTTCATCATGCGATCAGCTTCATCAGTTCACGCTGGACTTCGCCCGCGTAGTGCACTTCCTCTGAAGGGTGTTCGCAGCAGATTTTCAGATTAAACATTCTTACACCGGCAGCACTGTAGCCTGCCAGTTGTGTCGCAACGTCTGCCGGTGTACCGGCTGGAGTGTAACGTTCGAATTTTTCGAAAGGCACTTTGTAAAAGGCTTCCATCTGTGTCTTTACCGCCTGCTGGGCAGCTTTTGGGTTGTGATCTACGCCTACCCAGGGCTGATAGCCGTGCAGCCAGGGGGTGTCACCACGACCGCAGGCGTCAGCCTCGCTTTGAATAAGGTCCACAGCTTCGGCGTAGCGACGCTCTGAACACCAGACACCAATCCAGCCATCGCCATACTTTGCCGTCCGAAGTAAGGCGGCATCTGAACGTCCGCCAATGATGAAGGGGATGGGATGTTTGGGTTGTGGGCGTATGGTCGCCTGTTCAATATCAAAGTGATCACCCTGATAATCCACTACTTCGCCCGCTAACAGGCGGCGAATAATCTCAAGAGATTCGTTGGTACGTTTGCCGCGGGTGCGCGGGTCAACCCCACAGATCTCTATTTCATGGCGGTCTTCACCGCCGACGCCAACCCCGAAGGTCATTCGACCTGGGGCCAGCTTAGCCATGGTGGCCAGCGCGCGTGCCACCGGCAACGGGTGGCGCAGGGGCAGGAGATAAATGCTGATCATCACACCAAGTTGGTCGTGCAATTGCGACAAGCCTGCCACTTCGACAAAGCCATCAGTGCCTGAACCGTTGCGGAAAGAAACGTGATCAGCCATAAATACATGGTCATAGCCGCTGGTGTGAATGCGGCTGGCGAGGGCCTGTTTTTCAGCGATTGGCAGCGTCCACAGTTCACTGGGCACGGCGAGACCAAATTGCGTTTCAGCAGGGCTGTACATAGGGATTTAAAACCTCTTTTTGAGTTGGGATCATAATCGAATGCCTGTTAATGTGCCGACCGATTGCCTGTTGCCAGGTGAAAACGACGGGATTTATTTTTGAGAAAGCCATCGCCACGACAAAAACCTTCAGCCATTGAGCGTTCTTCAGCGCGACGTGCAGGATGGCTGCGACTTACTCGCACCATTGCGCTGGGTACCATTGCCGCCGTTTTTGCGATCATCTGGCTGGGTGACCAATACGGTATCGAACGAGCGGTCATCTACGAGTTTCTCGCCACCAGCGCCCTGTTTGTCGGTTTGCTGGTGGTTGCAGGCCTGCTAGGTGCGGTGCTGGTGCTGGGAGTTCGATGGTTGTTCCGCCGCGGTAGCTGAATTCTGCTTTCGACCATCAACAGACAGGGATCAGATCAGTTCCTGGAAGAAGCGTTCCGAACGGGGCAGGTAGTAATTTTCGTAATCTAACGAAAATGCTATTGCGCCAGCTTTGCCCAGAATAACTTCGCGTTTGACAAAGCCGATCACTCTGAAGTCCTGGCTGTTATCCCGGTTGTCTCCCAACATCAGATAATGACCTTCAGGCACAGTAACCGGTCCAAATGAACTGCGGATCTGTGGGTGCCGCAGCCGATATGTCATCACCATGTGGCTGTTGCCGAGCAGATTTTCCTGGCTCACCTCTATGTTGTCGATGGCCGCTGCAACCGGATCTGGCAGGGCGCTCAGGTCAACCGCTTCGTACTTGCCGATCTCGCCATTGATGGTCAGGCGGTTGTTGTACATGGTGACCACGTCACCCGGGATGCCGATCACGCGTTTGACCAGTAGTTTGCCGTCTTTCGGTGATTCAAATGTGACAATATCCGAACGCTGGGGATCCCCCCACTGGGCAATGCGAACCAGGGTGAATGGCACGCGCAGGTCGTAAGCCAGTTTGTCTACAACGATGCGGTCACCCTCGAGAATGGTTGGGATCATTGAACCCGTGGGCACCTGATTCCAGTCCGCTATGGCGGAACGGAATACCAGCATGATGACAATAAACAGCACAAAGCCGCGCCATTCGCGCCAGTATTTGGCGGGGCCGGTTAATTCAGGCTCACCGATCTTGGTGTTTGTCTTGGTCACGTCAGTGTTTCGCAGCCGCTTCCATGGCCGCCAGCTGTTCAGGGGTTGCTTCCTTCTGATAGGTGTTTTTCCACTTGTCGTACGTCATGCCATAAACTTTTTCACGGGCGGTATCCAGGTCAATGTCTGCCTGTAGTTCTTCCGCCGCTGCTTTGTACCATTTGGAAAGACAGTTGCGGCAGAAGCCTGCCAGAATCATCAGGTCGATGTTCTGCACATCTTTACGCTCGTCCAGGTGAGCAAGCAGGCGCCGGAAGGCGGCCGCCTCAATCTGGGTCTGTACATCGGTGGATAAATTGTCTTCAGACATTGGTTTTCCTTGTTGAGCTTGTTGCTTCGCGCTGCTGGTTCGGGTGGTGCTACTTTCTGCTGTTCACTGGTGCGGGCTGCGGGCGGGTAAACACCCAGTCGTGGCTGGTCGACAGTGCTTCATTGTAAGCATAGTTTTCGTAATCGAATGCTTTTAACATTTTCAGCGTCTTAACACGCTTATCGATCATATATCGAGCCATCAGCCCGCGCGCTTTTTTTGCGTAAAACGACAGGAACTTCAGTTTGCCGTCTTTTTCTTCTTTAAAGTGAATGTTGATGATATCGGCGTTGATGGCGTCGGGTTCAACGACGTTAAAGTATTCCTGTGAAGCAAGGTTCACTAATACCGGATTGGCCTGTTCGGCAAGGGCTTCATTTAATGACCGAGTAACCTTGTCTCCCCAGAATTCATACAGGTTTTTGCCTTTGGAGGTGCACAGCGGGGTGCCCATTTCCAGGCGGTAGGGGTGGATTCTGTCCAGCGGTTTCAGAACGCCATGTAAACCGCTCAAAATACGCAGGTGTTTCTGTGCCCAGGTCAGATCGCGTTCGCTGAGATCCTGGGCCTGTAAACCCAGGTAGACGTCGCCCTTGAACGCCAGGGCGGCTGGCCTGGCCGTCTGTGGCGCAAATTCAGGCGTCCACTCGTGGTAGCGACGGTGGTTGAGTTCAGCCAGGTTGTCGCTGATCTTCATCAGCTTTGCCAGTTGAGCAGGTTCGTATTGACGGAGGCGATCGATCAACTGATCGCTTTCTTCGACAAAGTCAGGTGTTGTGCCTTTGCGGGTAGTCAGCTTGGATTCGAAGTCCAGCGTTTTGGCTGGAGAGATAATGGCCAGCATCAAAATCCTCATAAGTTATGCGTGTATGCAACTGGCTAGTTTAACTGATCGGAGGTAACGTACACCACGTGCAAGCAGGATTTGTCCGACGGGGGAAACGGTGAAGATGACGTCGCGTAGCCATCAGGGGTTGGTGCGCATAAACAATGAAGACCGCGTTCATTGTGAGCCTGAACATGAGTTTGTTGTGCTGGCTGATGGAATGGGGGGGTTGCTCGCCGGAGAAGTTGCCAGTTCTGTAGCGGTGGAGTCTGCCTGTCGGGCGCTTCGAGATCCTCAACAGCCCCGCCAAAGTGCTGACGACCTGAAAGCTGTTCTCAATCTGGCCAATGAAGCGGTGCTCGAACGCGCGCGCAAGATGCGTTATGTGGGCAAAATGGGCACAACGCTTGTGGTGTGGGCTATGCAGGGCGAAACGGCTTATTTCAGTCATGTTGGAGATTCTCGACTGTATGTGTACCGTGGCGGCAAATTGTCTCAGGTCACCCATGACCATACGCTGGCGCAGCGGATGATCGACAGTGGTGAAATTGCCCCGGAAAATGCCCACAACGCCCCCAACAAACATGTGTTAGTCCATGCCATGGGGCTGCCGGGTGCCTTTAAGGCGGATGCTGGCGTGGTGCCGGAGTTTGATCGAGTGCTGCTTTGTAGTGATGGCTTATCCGATCTGGTCGAAGATGCAGACATCGAAGCCATTATGGCGACGCCTGATCTGGATGATTGTACCAACTATCTTTTGAAAGCAGCTTTGGATAAAGGCGGTCGCGACAACGTCACCGTTGCTGTTGTCGAACGCTAGCTCGCAGGACGTTGCCTGCATCTGTTTTTGTCGATGGCGGGTCCTTGCACCTGTTCTGCCCAGCCCTATAATCTGACGCCCGAATCATTGGCAAAGGCGTGGCATGGAAACGCGAGCTCAACGCATTGAACAGACCCTCGATCAGGAACTGGATATTCAGCATCTGGAAGTGATCGACGAGAGCGCTAATCATAGCGTTCCGGCTGGCGCGCAAACCCATTTCAAAGTTGTCATTGTTTCGCCCGGCTTCGAAAACGCCAGTCGTATCGATCGGCATCGCCGTATCAATGCGCTGCTGCAAAGCGAATTTGACCAAGGCATGCACGCTCTGGCTATCCACCCCTACACTGAATCAGAGTGGCGTAAACGGTTTGGAAATGCACCGATGAGCCCGGCATGTGCCGGCGGTGATGGCGCGGCAAGGCTCGAGTCCTAGACATGCGGCGGGTCCTGGCATTCTACAAATTTACAGGGGTTGATGAGCTCGAGGCGCTGCAGGGTGAATTGCTGCAGATGGGCGCAAAACTCGAATTGAAAGGCACCATTCTGATTGCCCATGAAGGGGTTAATGGCACGGTGGTTGGCACAACATCAGCGTTAACAGAGCTGAGCCGATCCCTGCAACAGCGATTTGGCGAGATGCCGTTCAAGTGGTCCGATCTGGCGGAAGATAACCGCGGGTTCTATCGATTCAAAGTCAAAATCAAGCCTGAGATAGTCAGTTTTGGCGTGGCTGATCTTGACCTGCAACAAACCGGTGAGCACGTTGACGCGCAGCGCTGGAATGAGCTGCTAGCCGATCCCGATGTGCTGGTGATCGACACGCGTAACGATTATGAAATTGATATCGGGACGTTTCCATCTGCCCGCTCACCGGAAACGACCAACTTTCGCGAGTTCCCCAGCTGGGTCGAAGAACAGCTTGATCCAGGTGAGCAGAAGCAGATTGCCATGTTCTGTACCGGTGGAATTCGCTGTGAAAAAGCATCAGCCTTTATGCGTCAAGCGGGATTCGAGAAGGTTTATCAGTTGGACGGCGGTATTCTGAAGTATCTGGAAGACGTCGAAGAAAAAGATAACCGCTGGCAGGGTGAGTGTTTTGTCTTTGATCAGCGGGTCTCTGTGGATAGCGCCCTGAATCAGGGTCAGTACGATCAGTGTTATGCCTGTCGGCACCCATTATCCAGCGAGGATCTGGCCAGCGAGGTTTATGAGCGCGGTGTCCAGTGTCCACATTGTGTGGGCCAGGCAAGCCAGACCCGGTTAGACAGCTTTCGGCAACGTCAGAAGCAGGTCGAGTTGGCAGCTGCGCGGGGAGAGGCTCACATTGGTGAAACCCAGAAGTAAAACAACGCGTAAACCAGGCTCACAACAGCGGTAACAATTCTTCCCACACTGCGTCTAACAGTAAAGGCTGTGCCTCGGCGGTGGGATGGATGCCATCTTCCTGCATCATATTTTCCGCCAGAGCGACTTCTTCCAGCAGAAAAGGCACATAGGCTGTACCTTTCTCCGTGGCTACTTCAGAGAACACCGTATCAAATGCGCGGGTGTAGCGTGGTCCGTAATTTGGCGGTATGCGCATGGCCACGATAATAGGGGTGGCGCCGCTTTCGTTGACCAGATCAACCATGCCACGCAGGTTTTCTCGAATTTTTTCAACCGGGTAGCCGCGTAGACCATCGTTACCGCCCAACTCGATAATCACAATCTCTGGATTGTGTTCAGCGAGAACGCCAGCCAGGCGAGCGTAGCCGCCCCCGGTGGTTTCTCCGGACACGCTGGCGTTCACCGCGAACCAGCTCTCTTCACGCTGCGCTAACGCCGTGTCGAGTAAATGTACCCAGCCCTGTTCGCGTTGAATACCGTAACTGGCGCTGATACTGTCGCCAAGCACCACAATCGCTCGTTGTTGCGCGTCTGTTTGGGCGGATTGGTCAGCAGATGTCGATGGCAGGGTGACTGCCGGCAGCGTCGAGGCGCTTAGATGGGTTGGCAAGATCAACACGCAAAGGATAGCCAGCATGCTCCAGAAACGTATTTCCGGGCGTTGCGTGGCAGAGCGAAATAACAATTTATTCATTGGTACTGGGTAGAAATAATTCATGAGTCATACTGTTGTATGTGCAAAAGCGGTCGAAAAGTCCGTTGATACGGCCGCGGGTAAGTTGGTTATCTTGGATGGCATTGATCTGGAAATCAAACAGGGTGAAACTGTGGCTATCGTCGGCGCATCCGGATCAGGCAAAACAACATTGTTAGGTATCCTTGCCGGGCTCGATTCTGCAACCGGCGGTAGCGTACAACTTGTAGATGCTGAACTAACCAGCCTGGATGAAGAAGCCCGCGCCCTGGTCAGAGGTCAGCATGTCGGGTTTGTCTTTCAATCTTTTCAATTACTCGGCAGCTTAACCGCCCTCGAAAATGTGATGTTACCCGCTGAGTTGCGTGGTGAAACTCTGGCAGAAAATCAGGCTGTTGATCTGTTAAAGAAGGTCGGCCTGGAAGATCGTGTTACCCATTATCCGCGTCAGTTATCCGGCGGGGAGCAGCAGCGGGTTGCTATTGCCCGTGCGTTTGCGTCCCAGCCGACGGTACTTTTCGCGGATGAGCCAACGGGTAACCTCGACACTCACACCGGCGAGCTGATCATTCAATTACTGTTTGATCTGAATAAAGAATTTGGCACGACTCTGATCATGGTGACGCACGATGAACGCCTGGCGGAACGCTGTGGCCGCACCATTGCGATCGAAGCAGGAAGTATCAAAACATGAATTTTCATCTGGTTCGCCGCATGGCGATGCGTGATATCCGTTCAGGTGAAATGGGGCTTCTTCTGGTGGCGCTGGTGGTGGCCGTCGGGACGGTCACGTCGATCAGTTTGTTTGTCGATCGTCTACACCACGCGCTGGTGGAGGAATCATCCAATTTTCTGGCAGCAGATAGACAGATCTCCAGTTCGCGTCCGATTCCAGAAACGTTTCGGATCGAAGCCGCTGCACGTGACCTGGAGATGGCTGAAACCATGGTGTTTCCCTCCATGGTTTTTGCCGGAGATACAAACCAGCTGGTCAGCGTGAAAGCAGTTGCCGGTACCTATCCATTGCGCGGCAAATTGATTATCTCCGACGAACCGTTTGTGCGCGGCTATCCCATCCAGGAGATCCCGCCGGTTGGCGAGGTATGGCTGGATTCCAGGCTTTTTCCTGCGCTCGGCGTCACGCTTGGCGATAGCATCGAAGTCGGGCTTGCTGAATTGCGTATTGGTCGGGTCTTAGTGGCAGAGCCGGATCGCGGTGGTTCGTTTTTCGATCTGGGTCCCCGTTTGTTGATGAATATTGACGATGTGCCCGCCACTGAAGTGGTGCAACCCGGCAGCCGGATCTCCTACCGGCTGCTGCTGCGAGGGGACGAGGGTGATCTGGAGAGTTTGCGTAACAATCTTGAGCTGGAACCCAACTATCGTTGGGTCAGTATCCGTGAAAGCAGCCCGCGGATTGGCTCTGCACTGGATCGAGCGGAAAGTTTTCTGTTGCTGGGTGGCCTGCTGGGGGTGCTGCTGGCGGGTATTGCTGTGGCTTTAAGTGCCCATCGCTATGCGGCTCGACACTATGATCACGTTGGCGTGCTGAAGACACTTGGCGCAACCCCGTCGCAGATTCTGTATGGGTTCCTCAGCATCCTGCTGCTGATCGGCTCAATTGCCATCGTCATTGGCCTCGCGGCGGGTGGCCTGTTGCACCTGTTGATTGTGCAGATTCTGTCAACGCTCATAACCATTGAGTTACCACCACCAGGGCTGCGTCCGTTTGCTCTGGGCACAGCTACCGGTCTCATCTGCGCCGTTTCATTTGCCATGCCGGCATTTATACATTTGAAAGATGTATCGCCGATGCGGGTGATCAGGCGTGATCTGGGTGTGGCACCCGCCAGCCGGTGGCTGTCTTACGGAGCAGCGATTGCGGGCAGTGTTTTTCTGCTGGTCTGGTACAGCGGCAGCTGGTTTCTGACCTTCTGGACAATCATTGGCGCCACTGGCGTAATTATTGTTTTTGGAACGCTCTCATATATGCTGCTGAGAAGCGGAAGAGTCGTGGGTATGCAGGCGCGCAGCGGATGGCGTCTTGCGTTGAGCGGTCTGCAACGTCGCAGTCAGGCCAATACCGCGCAGATTCTGATTTTTGGTCTCGCCATAATGTTGTTACTGGTGCTTGTGCTGTTGCGCACTGCGCTGGTAACTGAGTGGCGCTCCCAGGTGCCGGATGAAGCTGCAAATCACTTTGTCATGAACATCGCCTCCAACGAAGTGGAAGCGGTGCAGACACTCATCGACGACAAAGCTACCGCGGGAGACTTCCTCTATCCAATGATTCGCGGGCGTGTAGTTGGGGTGAATGGCGAAGAGGCAAAAGAGTATCAGGCCAGAGTTGCACCGCGAGGAGAGGATGGCGGTCCACGCCTGATGTCCGAACGCAACTTAACCTGGATCGCTGAACAACCTCAGAGCAACGAAGTAGTGGCGGGGCAATGGTGGTCAGAACAGACTGACAAAGCTGAAGTATCACTTGAACAGGATTATGCCGACGATTTTAAGCTGTCCATCGGTGACGTGCTTACCTTCGACATTGGCGGGCAGAACTTCGATGCAGAAGTGACCAGCATACGGACCCTTGAATGGGAGAGTATGAGCCCTAATTTTTTCATCATTCTGTCGCCCCCCGCGCTGCGCGATTACCCGTCGACGTACATGACCAGTTTCTACCTGGAACGCAGTGAGAAAGTGTTTCTCAACGAACTGCTCAGCAATCACCCCACGATTACGGTGATCGAAATAGATGCTCTCATAGAACAGATCACCAATATTGTTGATCGGGTTACTCAGGCGGTGGAACTGGTGCTGGCCCTGGTGCTGGGCAGTGGCTGTCTTGTGCTGGTCGCCAGCATTCAGGCCAGTCGTGATGCGCGCATGGCGGAACATGCTTTGGTGCGTACCCTGGGTGGCACCCGCAAACTGATATTTGCTTCGCTGGCATTTGAGTTTGCGGTGCTTGGTGCATTTGCAGGCATTGTGGCGGTGGTCGGCGCAGAACTGACTGTTGCGGTTCTGCAAAGCCAGGTGTTTGAACTTGATATGCAGTTGCATCCCTGGATATGGCCGGTCGGCCCCGTGGTCGGCGCGCTGATTATTACGGTAGTTGGCCTTTTAGGCAGTCGTTCTCTGGTGAACTCACCCCCCATGCTGGTACTGCGCGGATTGAACTGAGCCCGGTCCAGTAATTGTTGTGGTGTCGGTAGAGCGTTGTGAAACAGCGCTCAAGACGCTGTTTTTTTGGCGGTATCCTGCGCGCTGGCGCGTCAATTCGGCAGCCAGCATCCAGGGCTTGCGCCAATCCCCAAAAAAAGACAATTAGCATTGCAGCCTGCTGTGCACCGTCTAGCCTTAAGTGAAACCTCCAGGTCTAGATTGAGCTGTATTTACTTTGAACCAGGCGCCTTCATCCTTTGTATTTGCTGCGCGTACGCTGTCGTTAAGCCAGTGGCAGGTGTGGGTTGTGGTTGCCTTTGTCATCAGCTGTGCTTATTTTTCACTGAACCTGTACCTTACTCAGATGCAGCAACGCGATGTCGATGTGCTGCTGCAGAAAACTTCTGCGCTGCATGAAACCGTTCTAGAAGGCAGTTCTGAGGCCGCGTGGTTGATCAGTGCAGCACAACTGTTCCCCCAGCTGCGCCATCATGTGCCGCCAGCCAGTGAGGAATTGCGTCGTCCACTTGAAGAATTGACCCGCCGTATCAGTGCGGGCGAGATGATCTCCGCGACGAACCGTATAGAAGTGTCCAGAGATCTTGGCGGCGTCGTCAGTGAACTTGCCGCGCTTGATGCATCACTGCAGCGTCAGGCTGGGTATGCAACACACTATTACTATTTCTCTCTGCTTGCGTTGATTCTGTTGTGCGCCGGCTTTGTCTACTGGCGCCATAGCTTGCGTGCCCGTTCGCCGTTAAATCTGCTGCTTGAAGACCAGTTTCTGTTTACCAATATACCCGTGGCCGTCAGCCTCAGCGATAGCAACGATCGTCTGTTACGTGCCAATGAAGCGTTTGAAAAAGCCACTGGATTCAGCGGTAGAGAACTGCTGGGTGAGCAGGCAGTGTGTGACGATTCGCTGGAAGAGCAGGCAGCGGTTGAACGTATGCGCGCACAGCTGGATGAGAAAGGCAGTTGGACCGGTGAATATCGTATGCGCTGTAAAGACGGCAGCGCGCATGCAGAAAAGGTTATGCGTATCGGCCTGACTGACGCTGCCGCAAACGTGCAGGGGTATCTGACCCTGTCCATGGAAGCTGCTCACTCGGATGCTGAGCAGCGACTCATGCTGTGGCAGGCGCACCACGATAATTTGACCAAATTACCCAATGCAAACCTGTTGCATGACCGGCTCGGTCGGGCGCTGCAGGAAGGCAAGCGCGGCGCGCTGATCAGTGTAGACCTGGATAATTTCAAGAACGTGAACGATTCGCTGGGGCATGCCGGTGCGGATCGGATATTGATTGAAGCGGCACATCGTATTGCCCTGTGCGCTAGAGAGTCGGATACCGTTGCCCGTACGGGGGGCGACCTGTTCATTATCGCCGCAACAGACATTAATGACATCGCTGAAGCTGAGCGGTTAGCACGTAACGTGGTCGAAACCTTTACGGCGCCCTTTGCAGCAGAAGAAGGTGAGCTTTTTATCACCAGCAGCTGCGGCGTGACGATTTTTCCTGACGATGGCGCAACCGCAGGTGAGCTGTTACAGAAAGCAGACGCAGCACGACTGGACGCCAAAGCCAGAGGCGGTAATCAGCTGAAGTTTTTTGAAGAACAGATGAATGTTGTGGCCGCTCGACGATTTGAGCTGGAAAGTAATCTGCGCAAAGCGATAGCTGGACAGGAGTTTGAGCTGCACTTTCAGCCGGTTGTGGATATTTCCAAGCAGGAAATATATGGCGCGGAGGCGTTGCTGCGCTGGCGTAGTCCTG